CCCTGCTGTCCCTGTCCCTGCTGTCCGTGTCCCTGCTGTCCCTGCCCCTGCTGTCCCTGTCCCTGCTGTCCCTGTCCCTGCTGTCCGTGTCCCTGCTGTCCCTGTCCCCCGCGCGGTGCTGACGCCACGCGTGTCCCCAGGCACGCTCTGGACATCCGGGAGCACTACGAGCGGAAACTGGAGCGCGCCAACAACCTGTACATGGAGCTGAGCGCCCTCATGCTGCAGCTGGAGCTCAAGGAGAAGGAGCTGCTCAGGTGGGTGGGCAGCGCCCGAACAGCACCCCCAAACAGCTGCCCCCGCAAATAACACCCCCAAACAGAAACTCCCCTAAATAACACCCCCAAACTTCACTCCTCCCAAAGAACACCCCCAAACAGAATCCCTGAAATTACACCCCCAATCACAACCCTCCACAAACGACACCCCCAAACAGCACCCCCAGTGCTCATCCCATGGTCACTCCCTCGCCATGGCCAGCTCTTTGTCCCCCCCATGGCGATCCCTGACCCCGTGGCCGCTCCCCCCCGGCCGTGGCCGCCCCCCGGGCCCCGCTTGCCCCGGGCAGGAGCGCGGGTGCCCACGCGTGGCCCGTGCAGGCGGGAGCAGGCGCTGGAGAAGCGCTACCCCGGGCTCTTCAAGCCGCGGGTGCCGCGGGGGCTCCTGCACGGCAACGCCGTCGAGACCCTCATCAAGAAGCGAAACGTCCCCCAGAAACTCTCGCCCCACGGCAAGCGGTGAGGGGGGCGGGGGTCCCTCGGGGGGGCACCTTGGGGAGTTTGGGATGGGGGGACATAGGGGGAAAACGGGGGTGCCAGGGATTTGGGTTGGGGGGCACGGATGTGTGGGTCCAGCAGGTGGGGGGGGTCTGGGGACCTGGCTGTGGGGTCGTTGAGGGGACTGGGAGGACGGCGTTCTTTGGGGTGGGGGTGTCTGGGCTCTTTGGGGAGGGGGGAGATGCTCTGGGTGTGCAGGTGTTGGGAAATCTGGATTTGGGGTCGTTTAGGGGACTGGGGGTGTCTGGGTTCTTGAGGGGAGAAATGCTCCGGGTGTGCATTTGGGGACCTCGGAGTGGGGGTCGGGGTCCTTTGGGGAGCTCCGGTCCTGCGGACCCCGGTGTCCCGGGGAGGGAGGGGGGCTCTGCGGGGCTGGGGCTGTCCCGGGGTGGCGGTGCTGGATCCCCTCCCGCAGCCTCGCCCTGTCCCTCCCGCGCCAGCCCCGACATCCTGAAGCCGGAGGTGCTGCTGCCCAAGCTGGACGCGGCCATGGCGCAGGTGGCGCTGCCGGGGTGTCCCAAGGGCCCCCCGTCCCCCGGGCGCAGCCGCCGCGCCAAGGGCCGCCACCGCAAGGCGGGGCCGCGGGGGGGCTGCGCGGAGCCGGGGCCCGAGGCCGGGACCCCGCGGGGCCCCCCCGCCGCCGCCGCCAGCCCCGACATCCTCGGGGGCACCCTGGAGGCCGCGGGCGCGCCCCCGGCCGCCGAGCCCGACGCGGGGCCCGAGGGCGCCTCGGGCAGCCGGGGGTCGCCCCCGGCGCAGCCCCCCACGCCCGGGGAGCCCGAGCGGGAGAGCGGCGCCGGCCGGGGGGGCAAAGGCGCGGCCGGGCAGCACCTGACCCCCGCGGCCCTGCTGTACCGGGCGGCCGTCACCCGCGGGCAGGTGAGACCCCCGACCCCCCCGGCCCTTTTGGGGGGCGGCGAGGGGACCCCAGGGCCGCCCCAAAGTGGGAGGGGGATGGATCCTCGGGGGAGGGGGCGCCAGTGTCCCCTGCACGTCTGCCGGGTCCCTGGCGGGGCAGAGGGCGGGTCAGGACCGGGGGTCCTTCCCGAGGGGCCTCAGGAGGACCCCAGGACTCCCTCCCTGCGCCCCCAGAAGCGGGGGGTCTCGTCGGAGGAAGAGGAGGGCGAGGTGGACAGCGAGGTGGAGCTGCCGCTGCGGCAGAGGTGGGTGCGACCCCCGCCCGGGCACGCCGGGAGCGCTGCGGGGCTGGAGCCCCCCGCGCTCACCCCCTCGCCCCTGCCCAGGTGGCCCCCGGGGATGAGCAAGCGCCAGTCGCTGTCCACCTTCAGCTCGGAGAACTTCTCGGACGGCGACGGCGACGAGGGCCACACGAGCGAGCCGTCGCACAGCGCCACGCCCGACGTGGGCAGCACCAACACGGACGAGCGCCCCGATGACCGCTCCGAGGATCTGCTGTCCCAGGGCTCCGAGATCCCGCTGGACGCGGCCCCGCCCGACGGGCCCGGCCGCCGGCACGGGGGGCTGAGCCCCACCAAGGTGAGACCCCCACCCAGGGATGGGCGCCGGGGAGTGGGGGTCCCCCGAGCCCCCCAGATGGGGTTGGTGAAGGGAAGGGGGTCCACAAGGCCTCCAGGAATGGACTCTATGGGGTGGGATTGGGGAAGGGGTCCCTGTCCCTCAAGAATGATCCCCATGGGGTGGGGGTCCTCAAGCCCCCACAGTGGGGTGCCAAAGGGAAGGGTGGGGGGTCCCTGTCCCCCAGGAATGGCCCCCGTGGGGTGGGATTGGCAAAGGGAAGGGGGGGACCCCTCTCCCCCAGGAATGGACCCTATGGGGTGGGATTGGCAAAGGGAAGGGGGTCTGTAGGGCCTCCCAGGCATGGCCCCCGTGGGGTTGGGGGTCCCTGTCCCCAGGCATGGCCCCCGTGAGTTGGGGGTCCCTCTCCCCCAGGAATGGCCCCCGTGAGTTGGGGGTCCCTGTCCCCCAGGAATGGCCCCCATGGGTTGGGGGTCCCTGTCCCCCAGGAATGGCCCCCGTGAGTTGGGGGTCCCTGTCCCCAGGCATGGCCCCCGTGGGGTTGGGGGTCCCTGTCCCCAGGAATGGCCCCCATGGGTCGGGGGTCCCTGTCCCCAGGCATGGCCCCCGTGAGTTGGGGGTCCCTGTCCCCCAGGAATGGCCCGCATGGGTTGGGGGTCCCTGTCCCCAGGCATGGCCCCCGTGGGGTTGGGGGTCCCTGTCCCCAGGCATGGCCCCCGTGAGTTGGGGGTCCCTGTCCCCCAGGAATGGCCCCCATGGGTTGGGGGTCCCTGTCCCCCAGGAATGGCCCCCATGGGTTGGGGGTCCCTGTCCCCAGGTGTGGCCCCCATGAAATGGGTCGGGGGTCCGTGTCCCCCGGCCCCGCGATGTCCCATTGCCGTGTGTCCCCAGGTCTCCGAGGACTCGGACTGCGACAGCGCGGAGCTCGATCACTCAGGCAGCGGCGAGGGGCCCCCCCGGCCCACAGCCCCCCCGGGCCTGTGACCTGCGTGCCCCCACAGCCCCCCCTGCACTCCCCCTCCTCACTTGTACAGCCCCAAATATTTATATAAATATCTATCGCTCTCTACTGCGGCTGCTGCCTTGGGGAACGGGGGGAGAGGGGCAGGGGGGTCCTGGAGCCCCCCGTTTGTGCAGGTCCTACTGGAGCTGCCCCAGTTCAGACTGGGGAAAATGGGGAGGGGGGTTTGTCACTCCTGGAGGGGCCAGGGGAGTTGGGGGGAAGAGCAGAGAAGGAACAGAACCAACAGCAGGTCCCCATTTCAAACCAGTCTGGAGGGAAATGGGAAAGATCCCCCAAAAATTCATCTGGAGGGGCAGAGCTCCCTGCCCAGGACTGGTCCGCCCCAGTCCAGTGGCACTCCCAGCCCCAGCTGGGCCATACTGGGAGCACTGGGTTGGTCCTCCACCCTCGGGAAGGGTCCCAAACACCAGCTGGGGTGTTCATCCCTCTCCAGAACCAAACTGGACCATACTGGGAGCACTGGGAAGAGCCAGGGGGATTTCAAATAAAGACTGAGACAGGCAGATCCATTAACCAAAATATCCTGCAGGTTCTATTCACAAGGAAAAGCTCCAGTCCATCTTTTTATTCAGTTTTTTTTTTTGAAAAATTTCCTGACGTTACAGAACTAAACTGAAATGTTTTTTTTTTTTTGTTTTTTTTTGCTTTTTTTTCGTTTTTCTTCCACTCTTACATGTCATGACAAAAACAGAAACTTCATGAGCCGAAAAAACGGGGAAAGGAGGGGAGAAGGTGCCAGGGGGGTGGGGAGAGGAGAGAGAGAAGCTTTATAAAACTAAGATTTGGGGTTCAGCAATTTTAAGAGCTGAACGAAGGAATTAAAATGCTTTTAATTTGAGAAGGGGGGAAAAAAATATAACCCCGAAAAACAGAACAAAAACGAAAAAACAAAAAAATCGAAACAAACTGAACCTGGTGAGTGGCGCGAGGCTGGAGGAACCGAAAATGTACAAACTAGTTTAAAACCTGGGTCGGTGCTAAGGGGCCGCAGATGGATGGCGAGGCGGGGGGGTCCGGGGCCCCCCTAACTGCTGCCCATGCCCCCGGTCTCCGAGGAGAGCCTGCAACGAGAAAAGGGCGTCAGAGGGACCCCCAGCACCGAGAGGGGCGGGAGGGACGCCCTGGGGGGCAGGAGGGGCCCCACGGGACCCCCGCGGGAGGGCTCTGGGGGGGTGCAGAAGCAGCCGGGGAAGGGAGGAGCCCCCCGCCCTGCAATGGTCTGGGGGGTCCTGGGGGTCCGGGCTGAGCGCGGTGGGCTCTGCTGCGAGGGCTGGGGAGGGGGAGATCCACGGGACCCCCCGGGCGGGGCAGGGAGGAGGCAGCACAGGAGGGGGTGCAGGGACCCCCGGGCGGGCGGGGGTGCAGGGCACACACAGACACTGCGCAGGGTCCCCGGGCCAGCAGGGACCCCCGGGGCAGCCCACCCCCCAGCCCTGCCGTGGGCTCGGCCCTCGCTGAGGTTTAACGGGGGCGTGGGTGGGGGTGGAGACCCCGGGCGGGCAGAGGGGACCCCCGGGCCGGGCCCCGCTGCGGCACACATCTACCAGAGCAGATTCTCACCGTGGCAACTTTATTACAGGTACAGACAGTTAAGAGAGGACAGGTGAGGCCCCCAGGGCGCCGGGGATGCAGTTCCCCCTCCCCCAAAAAAATCACAGAGTCCCTTCCCTCCCTCCACCCCCTATCCCACCCCAAACCCCACAGCTGCACCCAAACTACTCAAAAAAGAAAAAATGGGAAAAGGAGGAGAAATGGAAAAAAAAAATAATTAAAAAATAACAAGCAACAACTGGAGGCAGGCAGAGAAGGAGTTGTGACCGCTCACAGGACAAGGGGACACAGTCTCTCGGCCGGCAAGAACAGCTCTGCTGCTGCCACGGCAGCGCGAGCTCGGTACAAAGGAAAACTAAAAAAACCCCAAAAAGAATTTAAAAAAAAAAGAAAAAAAGAGGAAAAAAACTGGTGTTCCAAGTCTCCTCTCCGGGGTCCTGGTGCTGCCACCCCCTGGAGCAGGCTCAGTACGGGGAAAACCTTTGCTTCTCGGCTTTGAGTTTGTTAGTGACACAGGGCACGGCGGGCGCCGCGGCGCCTTTGGCCGCAGACACGACATTTAGCGCCAGGAGAGGGACAGGTTTCATGCCAAGCAGACTGGAGACACAAGGGGCGGTCGGAAGAGGGTTGGGGAGGCTGGAGGGCGCGTCGGAGGCCCCCGCGGTGGCGAGCGAGGGGGTGGTGGTGGAGGAGGAAGAAGAAGAAGGGGTGGAGGGTTGAGAGAGGTTGATGCTGAGGTGGTCAGGGATCGTGACGGAGGCTGCCTGGGAGGAGGGTTTAGCGCTTTCTAAACTGTAACAGAGGAGAAAAGGAAAAACAACAACAAAAAAAAAAGAAAAAAAGAAAAATAAAAAATAAAAAAAAAAAAAACAAAACACGGGTGTGGGTGGGAGGGAAGGAACAGCACAAAATGCGAAAAAAAAGCGCAGGACAAACAGCGAAAACGGCGCAGGAGCCGAGCTGGGGAGGAGGAGGAGGGAGGGAAGGAGGGAGGGAGGAAGGGATGGCGCTGCCAGGCCTGGCCCAGCTGCACACGGGACCCCCACACCCCCCAGAGGATCCCCCAGGAAGGAGCCAAAGTGCAGAGGAACCTCCCTGAGGGAGCAGGGACACAGCCCAGGGACCCAAAGCCCAACAGCCCGGAGATGCCACTGCCAGCTCCAGGCAGGGAGCAGGGACAGGGGACACCAACGGGGACAGGGCTGGGCAGCCCCTCCTGGCACCCCTGAGGGTGGCACAGCAGAGCCAGGCTCCCCCCAGCCCCTTCGTCAGCCTGCAGCATCCCCGGGTGGAGCGGGGAGGGGACAGCAGGCAGGGGAGGGCACAGGGAGGGCACAGGGAGGGAGAGGGCACAGGCGTTCCCCCCATGCGGGGCACGGGCAGGGAGGGAGGGAGGGCACGGCGAGAGCAGCGGGACTCACCTGACATTAATTAGATACTGGGCCAGGCTGATGCTCGCTGCAGATCCAGTTATGGTCACCTGCCTGTCAGTAGAGCCTTCCACGGGGTTGGCAATCTTGATCTGAGCCCCGGACATCTGGCGGATCTCGTTGATCTTGGCGCCCTGACGCCCGATGATGCAGCCAATCAGCTGGGGAGGGACAGCAAACCGGGTCAGCTCCGGGGGGACACCGGGGAAATTCCTGCCGGGAAAGGGCTGTCCCGGCCCCACAGGCTGCCCAGGGCAGGGGGGGACAACACCGTCCTTGGAGGTGTCCAAAAGGAATGGTGAGGATGTGGCCCCTGGGGACATCCCCTTGGGGACATGGGGACATGTCCCTGGGGACACAGGTCAGTGGTGGGGGACAGCTGGACTTGGTGGCCTTGAAGGCCTCCTCCAACCTTGACAGCTCCAGGATTATGGGATTCCTGGGAGTGGGGTGTTAGCTGGAAAAGAGGGGTTAAAGGATTGAAAAAAGGCTTTTCTGCCTTGAAGATGACTGGAATGGGGACAAGGGACGTGGCGGCAGCCCGAGTGGCCTGAGGAGGGGGTTTGGGATGCAGCCACGAGCCCCGCACAGCCCCAAAGGCAAGGACAGTGAGCCCAGGGCCCCTGTGGGGGGGCAGAGCCTGGGGACAGCCACCCCCCAGCCCAAGCCCCGGGATACTCACATCGTTTGGAATGGTGAGTTCATGGGAGGTGGTTTGGGCAGAGGCATCCAAACCTGCTCGGAGACAGAGAGAGGGGCCCAGGTGAGGCGGGGGCGGCCGGGGGGTGCAGCACCCCAAGTGCTGCCAGGGTCAGGTGCCCGGGAGGGCTCCGAGCCGGCGGGGGGCACAGCAGGCTGGGAGGGCTCTCCCCTGCCCTGCCTCCCTCCGTCACCCCAGGGCTCTCCCTGCGTCCCCTCCGTCACGGCGGGACAGCCCCAGAGCAGGGGCTGGCACCGGGGGGCTCCAGCCGGGCACTCGCCTCCACTCCCACTCCGGGCCCAGCTTCCAAAGGCCACAGCTCCCCTCATCCTCCTCCTCCTCCCTGCCGCCCCGCAGGGCTGTGCTAAGGCAGGCACTGGCTGGGAGGCTGCTCGCCCCCCACACGGGGCTGAGCTCGCGTGCCTGGGGCGCTCTGAACACGCTTTTCCAGCTCTCCCCCCTTCCCCAGCTCGCTCCCTGCGAGAGGGAGCAGCGGTGGTGGCCTCGAGCCCTCACACCGGGGCTGTGGCAGGGGGACAACACCCAGGGCTGTCCCCCGACTCCCGGGGCAGCTCCAGCACCTCCTGGGCCGGGGACTGCTCCCCTCTGTGTGGTTTTTGGGTGTGGGGGTCACAGCTCGGGGCCCACAGCTCGCTGGGACAGCCGAGCCTCCACCCAGTCCTGCTGCTCTCCACTATCCAGCTGTGCTCCAGGGCCCAGGCAGCTGAGCCAGGCTGCACCTCCAGCCCTTCTGGGGCTCCCCTCAACCCCCTTTCCTTCCCCCCATCCGGGCAGCATCTATCAGGGAGAATGAGACCCCGGGCAGCATCAATACACAACAGAGTAACTACAGATGGTGTGTTTGGATCATTACCCCAATAGCCTTTCACCTCTGCAGAGCTGGAGTCAACGCCTGTTAAGATACAAGTCACAATGAGTTTGGCTGTCTCAAGTTTAGTTTAGAGCCCCCAATGGGTAATTTTGATTTTCTTTCTTTTTTTTTTTTTTTTTTTAGGTGGCTTGGTTTTTTTCCAGCCGTCTTAGCAAATCTGCAGTGAATTTGGTACAGTCAGCAGCGGCCTGCAGTGGGCCTGGAGCAGCCGGAGGGGAGAGAGCGGGTGCTGCGGGCACCGGGCAGCGAGGGAGGGAGGGCAGCAGCGTGGGTGGGCGGACGGACGGACGGAGCCCTGTCCCTGCGGCCCCACACACGTCCCCAGAGCAGAGGTTACCTGGCCGGGCCCGGGCAGCGTTTGGGGTTAGGTTTGTGTGAGCTCGGCCCCAGGCGGGGCTGGGCTGCGGCCGCGCGCGAACGCACACGGAGAGAAGGAGTTTCCATACCACTGAATCCAGTGTTGCCATGAGACATTGGAAAGTGTGACTGTTGCATTGCCAACTGGTGCAGCTTGGTCAGCTAAAGGAGGGACGGGGGAAGACAGGGAGAGGGAGAAAGAGAGAGAGAGAGAGGCTGGCGTTAGCCATTTCCCGGGGCCGGGGGCAGCACTCGCCGCGCGCACCCGCACGGACGCGGCCCCGCGCCCGCCCCGGCCCCTCCGGCCCGGCCACGGGAGGCTGGGGGCTGTGCCCACCCCCCCGGCGCAGCAAGGGCTGGAGCAGCGCAGGAACAGAAGCAGAGAGGAGCGGGAGGAGGGAGCAGGTGCCCGCGGCGCGGCGGGGAGCGCAGGGCCCGGGCACGGAGCGCGCTCGGCTCCGCCGCGCCGGCCCGGCCGCCGCGGAGCCCCCGACCCCGCGCCAGACCCCCCTCGCTGCCCTACGGGTGCCAGGAGCAGAGAGCAGCCCCTACGGGATGAGGATGGGTGCCAGAGGATGGAGGTGTCCGACGGCGCCGGCCGCTGCCGGGCTGGGCCGGGGCCAGCCCCCCTCCCCGACTGCCACCTGCGCCCGCCCGCCGGGCCAGCTGTCCCCTGCCCCGGGAGAGCCACCGCGGGGACACAGCCACCGTGTGCCGGCTGGGGGGGGCGTTCTCGTGCCAAATTGAGGGGGGGGCGGGGGGCAAAGGAAAAGCCAGAGCTGGTGTGAAATGCCAAGCCAGGGAGAGGTGGGTTTGGAAAAAAAATATAATATAATATAATATAATATAATATAATTTAAGGAGGAGGGAAGTGTCAGAGAGGAGGTGGGGGAGGATCCAAGGAGAGATCTGAGGCCGGATGGAGCTGGCTGCAGGAGGGCCAGCTGAGGCGGGTGAGTGGGTTTTTTTGGGGGGGGAGGTTCTGGGGAGCTCAGATCAGATCGAGTATTCAGCCCCAAGCTGAGCCAGCTCGAGTGGAGAAAGCACGGAGAAAATTTTTTGGAAGGTGGGGGAGGAAAAGGGTGGATTTCAAGACAAGAAGTTGTAAATAAAAACTTACATCTGGCTGTGGAATGGCATACTGTCCTTGAATGGTATAGGCCTACAAAAGGAGGAAAACAGTCCTATTAACAACCATCGGACAGCCACCCAGGGACAGACAGATTTCAACTAGCCAGGAAGTCAGAGAGCCAAGGTGGAGAGTTCTCCGGGGCGAGGGAAGTGGGGCAGGAGAGGCGGGGACGGATAAATGCTGTCACAAGCAGTGTCTAGGCTGGCGGTTACTCGAATTGGCCTGACGTGGCGGGTACGGGGAGGGGGTGGGCAGAATCGGTGCCGTCCCCCCCCCAAAAAAAAGGTGGCAGACAAAAAATAAGGAAAAAAAGAAAAAAAAAGAAAAAAGGAAAAAAATAAAAACCAACAAGAGAACGGCTGGGATCTTGATGAAGATGTTATGGTGTGGTGAGTCCGACAATGCTGCTATCCCTGCGCCCCCGCGCAGGCAGGGAGGATCCAACGCCCCCGCCGGCCCTGCTGCTGCTCCTGGCCCCTCTCTGCCCCGGCCCGGCAGCTCCCCCGCCTCCCCTCCCACCCCCAAAAAAAAGTTTTGCCCCGTTCCGAGTCCTCTCGTCACTCCACACGCCTAGGACAACGTCGCCGGGCAAGCTACAGGTCAGTGCTGGCGCTGGCTACCACTGCTCACACGGCCCAGTGCTCGGAGGGGAACGAGGCGAGGGCCTGACCTGCCACAACTCCGTGTCCCCGGGTTACAGGGGACAGCCACACACTTCAGACTCCTCCTGAAGCTACCCAGGAAGGGCGAGGCACTGGCTGGGGCCTGGCTGGCTAAGGTTCGGGGAGGTCTGGGGGGGCCGGGCAGGTGGGGGCGGGTGGGAGAGGAGGGGGAGAGGGGGGTACACAGCCTCACTTCCAGGTCACCGGAAGAACTGCAGCCCAGGCTGGAATTGGCCCAAGTTCGTTGCCATGCAGTGGCTGCCGGGTGGCCTGCGTGAGGAGAGGTTGGTGGGCTCAGAGTCCAGTTCCCAGTGGACAGGAGTCCACAGCACAAAAAGCCACCGTTGTCGGTTTTGGGGGACGGGGACAGGGATGCCACCCTTGTTGGCAGTCTCAGAGAGGCCAAGGATTGAACGGGCCGTGGAGACTGAACTCCCCTCTCACCTCCTGAGGTGGTCCCTCCAAGTCAGAGTTGAGGCACATGGATGGGGCGGTGTGGGGGTAGCTCGCACTGCCGCTGCTGTACCTGTCCTGTGGATAAATTAGAGGACTTCAGTCTCCAGGGCTGTCAATCCGAAACCTTTCGCTAACACCAAACTCAACATCCACATTAGCTCAGTGCTGATCGAGGGCTCGCCCTGCTCTACGCGCGACTCTGAGCTGCAGACAGAGAGCGCAAGGCCCACCGGGAGCGGGGCCCGGGGGCTGCTGCGGGCCTGGGCCGGGGACGGGGGCGGAAGAAGGAAGGAAGGGGAGAAGAGGGGCAAGGGGAGGGAAGAGATGCGTGGCTGTGGAAGCCTGCTCCTCACTGCTCTAACGGGGAAGGCGGCCGGCTCCCGCCCCGGTGGGCCTTGCGCTGCCCCGGGAGCAGAGCGGCGGGAGAAGCTGTCGGGGAGGCGGGAGGGGGGGCTGACCGGGTTCAGGTGGGGAGGAAGAGGCAGGGAGAGGGGCAGGGGCGGGGAGCAAGGGGACGGCGGCAGGTCCGTCCCCACAACAAGCGTGGCGGGGCTGGGAGGGGGCAGAGCAGAGTCAGGCCTGGCTCTCGGGGAGGCCGGCGGCAGCTACAGCCCTTCCCTGACCCCCTTCCCTGCCTACCGAGGCCCCCACTGACAAAGCCAGGCCCTGCCCACCCCGAGGGGCGTCCCTGGCAGCAGGAAGGCAGCGGATGCGTTGTCGCCATGGTCTCTCCGAGCGTTGGGGCAGCCCCGGGGGCGCAGGGTGGGAGCAGCTGACCCGCACCCGGGCCCGTTACAGCGGGACAGGATCCCAAGGGACACCTGTCCCCCGTACGGTGGCTCGGGGCAGAGCTCGGGCCACTGCCCAGCTCAGCGCAGGAGGGACTAAAGCCCAGCCACCTGGCACTACTCCTATCTGACACCCTCCCCTCCTGAGAGACGAAGCCTTTGCGCACCCCAACCCTACCCACGGCACAGGCTGAGCCTTTGCACCCCGAGAACCGGTGGCAGAGAGCAGAGAACCGCCAGGCTCCGGGCCAGTCACCCACAGAGGTCACAGCGAGTCCTTGGAGCCAGCCCGAGGCAGGGGGGCAGAGCCTGGGTTACGCAGCTCGGCCCCATTCAAACCCCCACTGCCGCCACCACACTGCCAAACCGGTTATTTTTTGGCTGGTAAATTCCAGGAGTGTTTTCCAGCACCCTCTCCTCCCAAATCAGCCGTTTCGTTTTCTGTTCCCTGCTGCCGTCCCTTAGCAGGGGAGGGGCCGAGGGCACAGCGTGGGTGACGGGCACGCGGAGCGGCCGGGGCGCGCTGGCAGCTCGGAACGACCCTGCCCGCCCTCCCTGCCCACCCCGCACCCCAGGAGCAGAGGAGAGGCCTTACCTGGCCGCCTGCAAAGATGACGGGAGAGCTGGAGGGCTTGGGTCGGTACGGGATGGTGACACCCTTCGGGGGAGACTGTGACAGGCAGGGAGGACAGGTTAGACACCGAGGCCGCTGGCACCGACAGCCCCCTCCCCGCAGCCCACAGCCCCGGGGCTCTGCTCTGCTCTGCACTGCCAGCTGGCCCTCTGGTCACCCAGGGCAGCGTGACTCGTTCCTCACCCTGGGCACAGGGCCGAGGGAGGACACCCAGCAGCACGGCAGGGCCGTGGGTGACACCATGAGCTGCTCTCGAGGCCCTGCTCGACCCTGGCTTTAAGCAGCTCCGAGCCTCACCTGGATGAGGCTGTAATCCCCAGCTATCCCTTTATCCCCCAGCAGCTCCTTTCTTCTCCCTCCTCAGCACTTCCACCCCTCCAAGGGCAGCGGGATCCCCTGCAGCACCCGTGTCCCCGGGCACGGGCCCAGGGAGGGGCCCTACCTCAAGCATGACAACGCAGATCTGTTTGACGCACTCGATGATGGACTGTGGGATCCCAGCGATGGTGATGGCTCGCTCAGTCGAGTTGGGCAGCATGTCCCCTGCCACCTGGACCTGTGCCCCCGTGCTCTGCCAAGTCGAGGGGTAAAAATAGCCCGTCAGACCCCGGGCAGGGCTGAGACCTCAACGATGAACCCCGTGCATGGTTATACAGAGCCAAAACTGCCCCCCCAGCTCCTCCTGTCCCCCAAAATAAAGTCCTTTAATCCCAGCTGGATACAATTCAGTCACCAGGAGCCTGAGGCAGCAGAGGGGGACCTGGCCTCAGCCTGTCCCTGTAACCCAATCCAAACCAGTCTCCATGCCAGCAGAGTTAATCCAACAGCACCCAGTGCTAAATGGCATGGCCAAGGGCAGCCATCTCCCTCTCCAAAATCTGGGAAAGGCTGGGGAGAGGGCAATCAGGAGCCATGGAAAGGGGGGAGCAGGAACCCAGACTGTGAGAGACAGCAGCGGGCAGAGAAGGGTCTGGCCTGAGTCTCAGTTTGCCAAGCACTAAAATACAGGGAGCACCAAAACCTCCCAGTGATGCCACATCCCTAGGGCAGGGACAACACAGGGATTTGTCCCTGGGGACACCTGAGCCCCCCGTGGGTCCCCCGGGCTGGGCAGCACGCACCTCTCGGATCTCCTTGATCTTGCAGCCTCCTTTGCCAATGAGGGACCCGCACTGGCTGGCGGGCACCACGAGCCGGAGGGTGACCGGGGGCCGGCTGGCAGCTGTGCTGTTGGTCATGGAGCTGCTGATGTCCTGCGAGGAAGAGGAGGTGTTGAGGGCTCAGCCCTGCTGGGACGGCACGCGCTGGGGCCGTGCCCGGCACAGGGACAGGGAGGTGACGCTGGCACCGGTGGCCGAGGCCAAGGTGACCTCGGGGCTTTCCCAGGACTTCCTCAGCAGCCCAGAAAAAACACGGATGTATTTTGGGGAAGCAGCAGCCAAACTCTGCTGCCTCACTGGAAATGGGTTTAGGCACCGGCCCAGGCTGGGTGCCACCCCGGCCAAGCAGGAACCGGCGCTGGAGGGGGACAAGGACGGGGCAGGGGGGCTCGGGGACGCCGCGGCTCCAGAGCCAGCGCGGAGCCTCCCGCTGCACCAGGGATCAAGGCAGCAGCGCCGGGAAAACAATCCCGGCGCCGATTACAGCGGTCATGTGCTGGCAGGGGGAGGGGAGGCACAAGGCCAGGGCTCAACTGACCTACTAAAAGCAAAGCTTCAGCTCCAAGGCCAGTGCCCAGAGCGCTGCAGAGCCCGTGGAGGACTCCGGCTCCCTGCATTCGGCACTAACAGCTCCAAGCCCTGCAGCCTTTAACGCTGCAGTGAGGGCAGGGGGGTTTGGGTCAGAGCTGCCAGCACAGGCTTGTTTCTCCCTGGGCAGTGTCCCAAATCTAAAGGGCAATACAATTTGTACCCCCACAGGCAGGGTGAGGGCCGCAGAGCTCTGCCCCACAGCAGGTGAGGAGAACTCCCAACTCCTGCTACCTCCAATGCAGAAACATCAACACCGCAGCTCGGAGAGCAGGATCTAACACCTGCAAGATCCACATTATGTAGCAGCAAAATCTCCCCTGGAAGTCACTGATTTAACAGGACCAGGGACACGATGCAGCTCCTCCAGCCCCACACAGCTGCAGCCCCATTTCCTCCTTGGCAGGGCTGGGGAGAGTTGAGCCCTGGGGCGTGCTGGGGGGAAGTGACACCAGCACCAGCAGAGTCAGGGGGATTCCAAGCCCCGCTCTGCCCCACGCTTTGGGCAGGAAGTCCCCGTGGGGCCCCAGCTCCAGCAGTGCCTGGACCTTGCCCCAGCACAGCGCCGGACAAAGATCGGGGCCAGGCAGGGAGACGCCGGCTGCCCGTGCGGAACAGCGGCCCTGGGCCCCCGGGGCCTGTCCCGGGGTCAGCTCTGCCAGAGAGAAAGGACAACCAGAGCAGCGACTGCAGGGGGCCGTGGACACACCTCTTCCAGTTTGTCAATGATCATCGCAAAAGCTTTGAAGATGGCGTTGGTGGGTCCCGCCAGGGTGATGATCCGCTCGGGGCAGTTCCCTTCCGAGATGTTGATGCGAGCTCCGCTCTGCGGGGAGGCAAACGCCACCTCAGTGCTCCGGCATTCCTGCGGATCCCCCGCCGGGGACAGAGCCCTCCCTCCTCCTCCTCCTCCCCTCCCTCGGCTCCGGCAGCCATCTTCTCCTCCTCGGCTTCCTGCCGCGCCTGCCCACAGCTCCCGGCATTCCCCGCGCCATGCCGGCGCTGCGCCGCGCTGCCTGCGGAGCCCGCGCCAGGCCCGCCATCCTGCCCTGCTCCCTGCCGTCCTGATCCTGCCCTGCTCCTCACCATCCTGTCCCGCTCCTCACCATCCTGCCCTGCTCCTCACCATCCTGCCCTGCTCCCTGCCGTCCTCATCCTGCCCTGCTCCTCACCATCCTGCCCTGCTCCTCACCATCCTGTCCCGCTCCTCACCATCCTGCCCTACTCCTCACCATCCTGTCCCGCTCCTCACCATCCTGTCCCGCTCCTCACCATCCTGCCCTGCTCCCTGCCGTCCTCATCCTGCCCTGCTCCTCACCATCCTGCCCTGCTCCTCACCATCCTGCCCCGCTCCTCACCATCCTGCCCTGCTCCCTGCCGTCCTCATCCTGCCCTGCTCCTCACCATCCTGATCCTGCCCTACTCCCCGCACGCCATCCTGCCCTGCCATCCTGATCCTGCCCCAGTCCCCACACTCACCTCCTCACGCATCTTCTTCACGGACTCCCCTTTCTGTGAGGGAACAGAGAAGGGAGAGAGGCGTCAGCGCCACGGTGGCAGGCAGGGAGGGAGGGAGAAGGGGAAAGGGAGGGCTAGGAGTTTGTTCCTCACTTACCTTCCCAATGATGCTTCCCACCTCCTGGGATGGAAACAAAAGCACCGTTAGTCAGCGTTTTAAAAACTCCTGGAGCCCCAAGCCTAAACTCAGCTCTTTTCAGTCAAAACAAGCTCCTGAGCACTTGAGCTCTGCCCCTCAGATAACTGGGGTTTATCCCAATTGTGCTGATCTTGTTCCCACCTTAACTCCCATCGGGACATTCTGCTCCACCCCAATAATGATTTCCTTTGCTGGCTGCACGCCAGGACCTGCCCAGGGACCAGCAGCACATTCCTGGCCCCACAGCAGCCCCAGGAGACCCCACGGAAGCTCCCAGCCCACCCCGTGCCAGGCCAGGGCTCCAGGCAGGGGGCTGGGGACACGAACCTTGCCGTGCATGAGTAGCCGGATGGTGAGCGTGACATTGAGACCCCCTTCGATGACTCCGGTGTCCATGGTGGGCAGCGCGGGGTCGGCTCAGGCTGCAGCAGCGCTCGGGCCTCGGCTGGGGGGAGAGGGGCTGCGTCAGTGGGGGGCTGTGACCTGAGGAGCTCTGCCAATCCCCCCGGCCTGTCCAGGCAGGATTCCAGCCTCCCTGTGCTGCTTCAACCCTCAAATGGCCCCCTGAAGTGTTGGGATGATCCGTGGTGGTTTGGCTCCATTCCTATGAATGTTCAGTGCTGAACTGGCCCAATCCCACCTAGATCCAGCAACTCTTGGGGTCATGAGGGTCCTGCTCAGCCCCTGCCTCGTCCCAGCCCTGCTTCTTGCAGGGCTTTCTCTGAGGGACAACTGAATACCTCAGGGTGACCCCCGGTAGCCCTGGGGACACAAACGGTTCCTGGACACAACCAGGGATGCCGAGGGGGCACCGAGGACTAATCGTGGTCCCTACAGGTCCGGGAAAGCCACCGCTCCCTGCGAGCCCCACACTTTTCCCAGCCCAAGTCTTCCTGCAGCTGCCCGATGGGAGCGGGCACCCCAGTCGCGGGGGTTTGGCCCTCTGGGCAGCCGGGATTGTGGAGAAAATAACCGCATCGGCGCTCCCGAGCCCGCGCGGGGCCCCTCGGAGCAGGTTCCGAGGCGATTCCCTCAGACCCAGATAAGGCCACATGAGCGCACGATCAGGTTTCAAACCACCTGAGTCGGCAGCGTTGCAAAACAGCCCGGCCGGCCTCAGCCGAGCTTTTCATAGGAATCCGGTAAATAAACTCCCATTTCGGCCCCCGCTTGTGCCCCATCAAAGTTTAACCACGGCCGAGGCAGGCCCAGGGCCGCGCTGCCTCGCTGGCACCGGAGGGCTTTGCCGCGGCCTCCATGAGCCCGGCTCGGCCTCCCCCCCGCAACCAAGCCGGTCCGGGGAGCGGAGCCCGGGATCGCAGCCCCGGCAGCGGGGCGAGGGCAGGACGGGCCCCGAGCCCGCCCGCCCGGGCCCGTTCCGGGGACAAAAGGGGCCAAGCGGCCCCGCCGGGGGTGAGGCGGGCCCGGGCCGGACTCCCGGTGAGGCCCTTCCGCAGGGAAACTTCCCCAAGCTCGGCCCCGCGCCGGATCCCGCCGCCCCCGGGAGCTCCGTCCCAAAGCCGGAGCCGCGGCTGCTGCGGCAGGGACGCGGCTCTGAAACGAGCCCGTCCCTGAGGCGGGGACGCGGCACCGGAGCCAGCTCAGCCCTGCGGGAGGGGCGGGGGGGGGGGGGCGTTACCGGGCCGGGGGTCCCGGCTCCGAGCTGGGCCGGGGGGAGCGGATCGGCTGTCCCGGAGCGACCCCGAGTCGCGATGGAGCCCCCGGAGGGGCCCGATCACAAGGCGGGTGAGGGGGAGCCCGGGTCGGGAGACACCGGCCCGGGGCTCCGAACCCACTCTGGACCGGGGATCACCGTTCGGCTCCGGGCAGGCCCGGGGGGAAGCTCCCGGATCCCCCGGGGGGCGGCGGCCCCGCGCGGGCCCGTCCGTGCGCCTCCTTCCCGCTCCGGCGGGGGGAAAACAACAGCGCGGGATGGCGGAAAAACCGGGCCCGGGCGGGAAAAGAAAAACTACTAGAATAAAATTTAAAAAAAAAAAAAAAAAAAAAGAAAAAAAATTTAAAAATTAAAACTCCAAAAAAGCGGAGTAGAAAACAAGAAAAAAAAATCTCCCCACGCCCCTCGGGGCCCCCCCGCAGCCGGCCCGGGCGGGGGGCGGCGGCGCCATGTGACGCACGCGGCGCCCCGAACCCCCCCGGCCCGGTTCCGGCGGGGGGGCGAGCCGGGGGGGGGCGGCGGGAGGCGGCAGCGGCGGCCCCCGAGCACCCCGGGGCCGTTTGTGCCCTCGGCCGGCGGCGCGGGGCGCGCGGGCCGCACAGGCCGCACAGGCCGCGCAGGCCGCGGGCGCCGTGAGGGCGCGGCCGGCGGGGGGGCGGCGGGGGGGGCCGCGCTGAGGGCCCGGCCCGGGGGGGATCGGACCCGGATGGCGGCCGGGGGGGGCGCGGGGGGCCCGCGGGGAGGGCCGGGGGGCGGCGGTGGGGGGGCGATGGGGGGGGGCGGGGGGTCGGGCCTACCTGTGTCGGCGCCGGTAACGGCGTTGGGCGAAGGGCGCTCCGGGCGGAGCGGGAGGAGGGAGGGCGGGAGGGAGGGGGGGGGAGGCGGGGAGGGAGCGCGGCGGGCGGGCGCGCGGGATGGCGGCGGCGGCGGCGCGGGCGCGGCTGCTCCGACTGCGGCGGCCGCGGGTCTGGGAGGGGGCGGCGGGCGCGGCCCGATTTACACCCGCCCCGACCCGGAAACGCACCGCGCGTGCGGGGCGGGACGGAGCGGCCGCCGCCCCGCACAGCGCCCCCTGGCGGCGGGGAGGTCCGGGAGCGGACTGGGGGCGCTGGGGGAGAACTGGGGGACACTGGGGGGGCAATGGGCGGCAATGAGGGAGTAATGGGGGCACTGGGGCAGCTCTGGGGGAAATGAGGGTAAAGGTGAGCGAGTAAAGGTGTGATAGAATTGTGCATGGGAGACATGGGGCAACTAGGGGGCAATAGGAAGGGCTGGGGGCAATAGGGGCACAGGGGGCACAGGGCAGCCCCCCTCCCTGGGAGCATTGGGGTTTGTGACTCCCCCAAGCCCAGCCCCCCTCGGCGCGAAGGAGACGCTGACGCACATTGGGGTGTCCCAGAGCTTTATTGGGGGACAGCGGGGACACCCCGGGACCCTCTCGGCAGCAGGGGATGGGGGACATGGGGACAGGATGGGGGTCCCCGAGTGGTCCCAGGCGGTTCCTGGTGGTCCCAGAGGTTCCAGGAGGTCCTGGCGGGTCCCAGGTGATTCTGGGGGGTCCTGGGGGGTCCTGGGGGTGCCTCAGTCAGAGCTGCTGGACGAGGAGGAGGAGGACGAGGACGAAGAGCGCTGGGGGGGACAGCAGAGCCATGAGCCCCGCACCGAGGGGTCTGGGGGTGACCCCCCGTGTCCCTCCCCGGGTCCCCCCCACCTTGTGCCTCTTGTGAGCCTTCTTCATCCTCTTCTTCATCTTCTTGGCCGCCTTCTTGTCCAGCCCGGGGGGGAGCGAGGGGAGCACCCCCGGGTGCGGGAGCACCCCCGGGTGGGGGGGCTGCGGCAGGGGGGGGCCCAAGGGGGGGCCCGAGGGGGCCAGAGGCGGCCCCGGGGGGTACGGGGGGGGGGCAGCGGGGTACGGGGGCTGCCCCGGCCCCCCCAGCGGGTTGGGGGGCGCCGCGGGCGGGGGGTACACGGGGTTGGGGGGTGGGACCTGGGGGGGGTACGTGGGGTTCGGGGGGTACGCGGGGTTGGGGGGGGGCGGCTGTCCTGGGGGGTAAAAGGAGGAGATTGAGGGGGGGGGGGTCTGACCCCGGAGGGGTCAAGGCAGCCCCCCCAGTTTGGGGCGTCCCCCTGTACCTGCACCAGGGTTCCACATGGGGGGAGACTCCAGGACCTGAGGGGGGGCACGGGGGGTGAGCGGGGACCCCCCGAACCCCCGCCGGCACCCAGGGGAAACTGAGTCAGGGGTTTGGGGGGCGCCCCCCGGGACTGGATGGGGCCGGGCGGCGGGGGGGCTGCGGGGGAGTCGGCGGGTTTGGGGTGCGGGGGGGATTTGGGGTTTGGGGTGCGGGGGGGGGTCCTGGGACTTCGCTCCCACCTTCGCTGCGGCCGCGGCCCCTCCCGGAAGGAAGGAGGGCGGGGCTTCGCCAGGGGCGGGGCTTGGCTCGGGCTCCTCCCAGGGGCGGAGTCTCGTCCTGCCCCCTCCCGGCCCGTTCCCGGTGTCCCCGTGCCCGCCCCGTGCCTCAGTTTCCCCGCAGATCCCCGGTGGGTTCCCGGTGTCCCCCTGCCCTGCCCGTGCCTCAGTTTCCCCGCACGCACCTGGCGGGGGGCGGCCCCCGGGCCGGGGTCTCCCGGGGCCGGCGCGGGCCCCGCGGCCAAGCGCTGGAGCCGCTGCAGCGCCCGCTCGGCCGAGAGCCGCGCCTCGGGGTCCGGGTCCCAGCAATCCTCCAGCAGCTCCGGCAGAGCCCCCCCGGCCTGTGGGACCCCCACCCACCCCGGGTCGGCGGGGGATGTCACCCCCGAACGGGGACAGCCCCCGGTGCCCTCGGCACCATCGCTCCAGCGGGGAGGGGACCCCAGGGCAGGGACCCCCCCCCCAAACACCCCTGGGACCCCCCTCGGGTGTCCTGAGCCACCCCGCACCCCCCTGAGACCCCCGGGGTGACACCCAAAGCACGGGCACGGCACCCCGGGCACCCTCAGCACCCCCGGGCACCCAGGCTGGGACCCCCCCGGACCCCCTGTGCCCCCGCGGGTCACCCCTGCCCGCGCCCACCCGGGGGGCGTTCGCGGGGCTCTGACCTGCGGGGTGCGGTGCCAGGCCGGGGGGATGAGCGGCCGCCGCCTCTCGTCCGCGGCCAAGCGGCGCAGCTGAGCCCCGCTGGGGCTGGAGCCCAGCTCGGCCTCGTAGGCCAGGCGGAACGGCAGCACCGGGGCTCCTGCGGGGCGGGACGGGGCGGCCAGAGGGGTCAGCGGGGCCGGGGGGCCGCGGGCGGCGCGGGGGCAGCGCGGGGCTCACCGGGGCTCAGGGCCTGGCAGCGGGACAGGATCTCCCAGAGCAGCAGCCCCAGCGCGTAGACGTCGGCCTGGCGCAGCGCCCGGCCCCAGGCCCGCAGGTCCAGGCTCTCGTCCAGGATCTCGGGTGCCAGGTACCGCTGGGTGCCCGCCTGCGCCACACCGGGCCCTGAGCGTGGGGCTCGGGGCCACCGGGGCTGCTGGGGCCACCGGGGCCACCGGGGCTGCTGGGGCCACCAGAGCCACCAGGGCCACCGGGGCTGCTGGGGCCACCACAGCCACCAGGGCTGCTGGGGCCACCACAGCCACCAGGACCACCAGGACCAATGGGGCCACTGGGGCCACCAGAGCCACCAGGGCCACCGGGGCCACCACAGCCACCGGGACCACCGGGGCCACCACAGCCACCAGGGCCAGGGACGGGCTCAGCTGGCAGCCACAGGACATCTACCAGTGATATTAGGGTGCGTGCCATCCCCAACCCAGAGCTGTCACATCCCCATCCCATCCCATCCCACCCCTGTCCCCCCTGTCACCTTGCGGATGGCCACGCTGTGCCGGCTCCCGGCGCTGTCCTGGGCACGCGGTGGCAGCGCCAGCGCCAGCCCGAAGTCGCTGATGGCGCAGGTGCCGTCCTCCCGCACCAGCACGTTCTGGCTGCTCAGGTCCCGGTGCACCACGCTGGGCTTGTACAGCCCTGGGGACACGGGGGGTCATGGGGGGACGGGGCAGGGACAGGGCAGGGACAGGGACAGGGCAGGGGGAACCAGAGCAGAGCCCAGAGTGGGACAGGGCAGGGGAGCCCCGGGCAGGGGGACAGGGGACAGCAGGGGTGCCACCCTCACCGTCACGCCACAGCTCCTGGTGCAGGAAGGCCAGCCCGCGGGCCAGGGACAGCGCCAGGCGCACGCTGCCCGCCCAGGTGCCCACGTGCTGCCCCAGGAAGTGGCGCAGGGAGCCCTGGGGACAGCGAGGGACACGGGAGGGGACGTGGGGCGCCCCCCAGAATCTCCCGCACATCTCCCCGCACCGGGCCCCCATCCCACCGCTGTGCTCCCCGACCGTCCCACGCACCCCCCTGAGCCCCCTCAATCTTTTGCACACCCCCGAGCCTTCCAAACTCCCGTTACAACCGAGGCCCCGAGCCCACACTACTCCGGTACCCCTCGAGCCCCCAAACTCCTGTTATCCCCCCCCCCCCGGGCCAATACCCCCCAAACTCCTGTTACAACACCCCTGTTGCCCCCCATATCTCCCGAGCCCCCCAAACTCCTGTTACCCCCTCCCCAGTGCCCCCCAGCCCCCGGTGACGCACGGCCGGGTAGAGCTGCAGCACCAGGAGCCCCCCGCGGGCCCGGGGTGCGGCCGCCCGCGTGTGCAGCAGCCTGGCCACGTTCTCGTGCTCCATCAGCGGCAGCGAGTGCACGGCGCGTTCGGCCGCGAACCTGCGGCGGGCCCCGGCCGCGAACGCCTTGATGGCCACGGGCCGCTGGCGCAGCGTGCCCCGCCACACGGCCGAGAAGCGCCCGGACTGCAGCACCTGCCCCGCGGCGGGGACACACACGGGGGACGCGGCTGGCACCGCGCGTCCCCAGCACCCCGGCACCCCCACACGGGGACCACCTCTGGGGGTCCCTCGGCGCTGTGTGCCCCCCGGACTGATGCCCCCTCTGCCATGGGTGCCCCACATCCCCTCCCCATGTGGCTGCCCCCTCCCCAGCATCACCTCCTTCCCTGCCCTCCCACTTGGTGCCCCCGTTGGGTGTCCCCTGCCCCGTTGGGTGTCCCTCACCCCATGGGTGTCCCTCACCCCGTGGGTGTCCCCCGGAGGATGTCCCCCGTCCCGTGGGTGTCCCCCGCCCCATGGGTGTCCCCCGTGGGTGTCCCCCCTGGGTGTCCCCCTCCCCGTGGCTGTCCCTCCTCCCGTGGGTGTCCCCCGCCCCGGGGTGCCCCGCACCTGCAGGAAGCGCAGCGCAGGCAGGTCCGGGCTGGGGGGCTCCGGGGGGGGGACCCCGATTCTGCGCCCCCCCCGCGGTGGCTGCCCCGTGCGGGCCCTCGTCCAGCGCAGTCCTGGATGGGGGACACCAGGGACACCCCGATCCGGGGACCCCCCCACAGGAACCCCCCAAATCAGGGACACGGCACCTGGGGGCACCAGGGACCAACAGCCCCCCCTCGCCTCGCCGGGCAGGGGGTGTGGGGAATGGGGCATCCCGGGGTCCCCGGGGGACACCGCAGCCGGGACACCGTACCCGGGACACCGTACCCGGGACACCCACCCGGGACAGCGCACCCGGGACACCCACCCGGGACAGCGCACCCGGGACACCGCACCCGGGACACAGCACCCAAGGGAGTCACAAGGACACCGGGGACCCCCCGGCCCCAGGGACAGTGTGACACCACACCTGGGGTCCCCCCCACCTTCACCCACTCTGGGAGCACCAGAGATGTGGCCTTTGCGGACACCCAGGGGACATGGGGTAGGGGCTGGCTGTGCCCGGGGGTCCTCCCGTCCCCGCCGTGTCCCCGTCCCTACCGAGGACACCGAGACAGATGAGGAGGATGAGGAGGGGGCTGGCACCCAGCAGCCACAGGGTCCCCGAGGACCCGCCCCGGCCGGGCACTGGGGACAGAGACCGAGGTGACACAAAGCCCCTCGACCCCCGGGGGTCCGGGGTGGTGGTGGGGGACACTTTGGGGGATCCTGCAGCTTCAGGGGATCCCGCAGCTTCCCCTACAGCTTTAGGGGACCCTGCAGCTTCAGGGGACCCTGCAGCTTCAGGGGATCCCGCAGCTTCAGGGGATCCCGCAGCTTCAGGGGATCCCGCAGCTTTAGGGGATCCCGCAGCTTTAGGGGATCCCGCAGCTTCCCCTACAGCTTTAGGGGACCCTGCAGCTTCAGGGGATCCCGCAGCTTCCCCTACAGCTTTAGGGGACCCTGCAGCTTCAGGGGATCCCGCAGCTTCAGGGGATCCCGCAGCTTCCCCTACAGCTTTAGGGGATCCTGCAGCTTCAGGGGATCCCGCAGCTTCCCCTACAGCTTTAGGGGACCCTGCAGCTTCAGGGGATCCCGCAGCTTCAGGGGATCCCGCAGCTTCCCCTACAGCGCCCTCAGAACCTCAGGCTCCCCCATGGATCCCCCTGCGGGGAGATATCGCGATGTCACGTCAAGATATCGCGATGTTACGCTCAGGCAGAGCCCTTCTCCTATTACCGGTACCGTACCGTTACCCCCTGTTATAAATCACCCTGTTCCGCCGTTAATGAACACCATTTCCCCGTCCACCGCACTGGTGTGTGCGTGTGCTCGGTCCGTGGGGCAGGGCTGCTGCCACCGAGCCGTGCTCGGGCCGGGACGCCGCGGCCCCAGCGGGGGCAACACCCCCCCACCCCGCCATGGGTCCCCCGAAGGTGCCGGGGTGCCCCGTGGGTCCCCTAAAGGTGCCAGGTGCCCCGTGGGTCCCCCGAAGGTGCCCCGTGGGTCCCCCGAAGGTGCCGGGGTGCCCCGTGGGTCCCCCGAAGGTGTCGGGGTGCCCCGTGGGTCCCCTAAAGGTGCCAGGTGCCCCGTGGGTCCCCCGAAGGTGCCAGGTGCCCCCGTGGGTCCCCTGTGTGTCCCCAGCCCCGAGTGCCCCCAGCACCCCCCAGCCCCGTACCTGGGCCCTGGCGGGGCCCCCCCGGCCCGCCGGTGGCCGCCGCGGGCCCGGTGGCGTTGCCGTTGCAGAGGTGGCCGTGGCACAGGCACAGCAGCACGGAGCTGCCCGGGTGGCCCGCGGGGCTGGGGGCGCAGGTGGCCGAAGGACAGGCGTCCCCCCGGCCCCCCCAGCAGCCTGGGGACAGCGGCACGGTCACCCGGGGGGCAGGGGACAGGTGGGACCCCCGGGCGGGTCCCGGGGGGGGCAGGGGACAGGTGGGACCCCCGGGCGGGTCCCGGGGGGGGCAGGGGATAGGTGGGACCCCCGGGCGGGTCCCCCCCCGCAGCGGCTCCTCCCCAGCGCCGCCGCAGCCGCTGCTCAAGGCCAAGGCCAAGGGAGCCGCTGGGGAGGGACCAGAACCTCCCCAATCCCCCCGGCCCGGAGCAGCCCCCGCTCCTGCCCCCCCCGGCCCGGATCGGACCCCGTTTGCCTCCCCAAGACCCCCCCAGGGCAGCACCAAAGCCCTCAGTCCTGCCCCAGCCCCTTCTATCCCTTCAAATCCCCCCGGGGCAGGACCAGGCTCTCCATCCTCCCCCAAATCCCCCCGGGGCAGGACCAGGCTCTCCATCCTCCCCCAAATCCCCCCGGGGCAGGACCAGGCTCTCCATCCTCCCCCAAATCCCCCCCTGGGGCAGGACCAACCCCTCCATCCTCCCCCATCCCCTTCTGCCCCTCCAACCCCTCCCGGGGCAGGCTCAAAGCGCAGCCACCTTTCCCCTGCCCAGGCCGGGGTCCCGGGAGTCTCACCCTGCACCAGAGCGTGGCTGCGGTTCCAGATGCCCACGCAGCACTGCCCGGGGGGGCAGCGCACGGCCCCGGCCGCCGCCGCCCCCGCGTCCCCCAGCGCGCCCCGCACGCTCGGGTGCTTGTAGGACACGCAGGTCAGGTTCTGGGGACCTGCCAGGGGACACCTCGCACCAGGGGGGGCTCTGAACCCCCAAAAGGGACCCCCAGCCCCGGCTGAGCCCCCCAGCACCCACCTGGGCGCCCCATGGGAGCCTCCGCGGGGCCGGTGGGAAGAGGAGCGAGCGGGAGCAGCAGGAGCAGGAGCAGGAGCAGGAGGAAGAAAAGGAGAAGGAGGAGGAGGAGGAAGGTGCTGCCCCCGCATCAGGGAGGAGAGAGCCGGGGTGTCTGGGGGGGGGGGCAGCCAGGCCTGGCCCCCTGCCCTGCATCACCCAAACGGAGCTCAGTGTCCCCTGTACCCCCTGCCACCCCCCAAAACTAGCCTGTGACCCCCCAAAAGGGGCTCAGTGTCCCCTCTACCCCCAAAACCGGCCTGTGACCCCCAAACGGAGCTCAGTGTCCCCTGTACCCCCTGCCACCCCCAAAACCGGCCTGTGACCCCCAAACGGAGCTCGGTGTCCCCTGTACCCCCTGCCACCCCCAAAACCGGCCTGTGACCCCCAAACGGAGCTCAGTGTCCCCTGTACCCCCTAAACCAGCCTGTGAACCCCCAAAAGGGGCTCCGTGTCCCCTGTACCCCCTGCCACCCCCAAAACCAGCCTGTGACCCCCAAACGGAGCTCAGTGTCCCCTGCCACCCCCCAAAACCGGCCATGCCCACCAAGGGACCCCCCCTCAGACTTCCAGACAACGCCAGCGACTTGTGTTTATTACAAAAAGAACTCGTCGTTCCCCATTTACAAAGGAGCCCCCCAAAACTAACAGTTTCATCTAAGTCTTTTTGTACAAAAAAATAGCACTTTGGGACCCAAAAAAAAAAAAATCATCCACCACCCCCTCCCCCCTAAAAAAAATCGCCTTTGGGGGGGGAGGTTTATGACATCAGCCACCGGATTTCTGAAAACCAACCCCCCCTCCCCTCCCCTTCCCCAAATTAAAACAACAGAGACGGGACGAGATCAAACAGGGAGAGAATTATTGCCAGTTTGGGGGGGCTGGACCCCCCAGGACCCCCCCGCTGCATAGAGAACCGGCCCCGGCCCCCCGGAATGAAGGGGTGACAGTGGATTAAAGCTGGGGGAGGGGGGCAGCCCCCAGAGCCCCCAGCCCCTCTGTGGGGCGTGGGAGCGGAGCAGGGGGGGCTCACCCCAGCCTGACAGCCCCTTGTCAAGGCACGTTTGTGTTTTGTGTCCCGGGAACGGCTGGGGGGGTCTGGGGGCTGCTGGGGGGCTTTGGGGTGCCGGGAGCAGGGAGGGGACCCCGGTGCCAACAGAGACAAAATGGGGCGGTGGGATCCAGCTGCCCCCCACCCCCCGGCACTGGGAGCAGCGCTGGTGGTGCGGACCCCCCCCCCCAAAATGCTCTGATCCCCCCAAAAACCGCAGGGGAGCAGCCCAGGCTCTGAGAGAGCCCCCCGGGCGTCCCTGGGGCCCCCTCCCTCCTTGGGGACAGTCCACGGGGAGGGAGGGGACACCGGGGACACCACCCGGGACATCCCAGCACCAGAGCTGGGCTGGGGTTTGGCACTTGATCCCCTCCGGGACAGAGCTGGGCTCGGGGGGCGTCGCGATGGGGGTAAAATCACCAAATTGACCATTAAATTAAGAAACCTCCTGTTGTTTGTCCCAATCCTTTGTGGATTTCGGGCTGGGGGGGGTCGGGGGGAGCTCATAGTGCTTCACAGGGTTATTAAAATACAAATGCTTAAAGTTTCCTATATAAAAATATACAAATGCAAAAATAGATATCAAGAGAGAGAGCCGGGGGGGGCTGGGGGGGCCGGGCCCTGCGCCCCCTCCCCGGGGAGCTTCTGCTGCCTTTCCTTTTTTTGCGTGTTTTTTAAAAAAAAAAACCAACCCCAAATCAAAACAAGATTCCTGCTTCCCGCCGGCTCCCGGAGCTGCCGAGCGAGCGAGCGGAGCTCGGGATGGAGATGGGGCAGCTCCTCTGTCCCGAGGGGCCGCGGCTCCTCCCCGGGCTCCTGGCACGGCTGGAGCTTCTCCCGGGACAGCCGTGGGCAGCGGGACAGGGCCGGGCTGGGAAGCACTGAGCGGGCGTGGGGTGGCTGCTCTGCACCTGCCCTGGGGGGCCAGGTGGGAACAGCGCGGGGCAGGTGGGGATGGATGGCCCAGGGCAGGTGGGAACAGCACGGGGCAGGTGGGGATGTACGGCCCGGGCAGGTGGGAAAGCCCCGGGCAGGTGGGGATGGATGGCCGGGGCAGGTGGGGATGGATGGCCCGGTCAGGTGGGGATGTACGGCCTGGGCAGGTGGGGATGTACGGCCTGGGCAGGTGGGGATGGATGGCTGGGGCAGGTGGGGATGTACGGCCTGGGCAGGTGGGGATGTACGGCCTGGGCAGGTGGGGATGGATGGCCGGGGCAGGTGGGGATGGATGGCCCAGGGCAGGTGGGGATGGATGGCCCAGGCAGGTGGGAACAGCACGGGGCAGGTGGGGATGTACGGCCCGGGCAGGTGGGGATGTACGGCCCGGGCAGGTGGGGATGGATGGCCCGGGCAGGTGGGGATGAATGGCCTGGGCAGGTGGGGATGGATGGCCCGGGCAGGTGGGGATGTACGGCCCGGGCAGGTGGGGATGGATGGCCCGGGCAGGTGGGGATGGATGGCCCAGGGCAGGTGGGGATGGATGGCCCGGGCAGGTGGGGATGGATGGCCGGGGCAGGTGGGGATGGATGGCCCGGGCAGGTGGGGATGGATGGCCCAGGGCAGGTGGGGATGGATGACCCGGGCAGGTGGGGATGTACGGCCTGGGCAGGTGGGGATGGATGGCCGGGGCAGGTGGGGATGGATGGCCCGGGCAGGTGGGGATGGACGGCCCGGGCAGGTGGGGATGAATGGCCCGGGCAGGTGGGATGCACAGCCCAGCTCCCATGCCGGGGGCTCCCCTCTGCCCCGACCCCAAAATGGGAGCAGGGAAGTTGGGGGCCCCCTCCTGGGCCCCTGCCCCGCTCGGGCCCTGCGGGGCTCGCCCCAGAGCTGCTGCTGGGAACAATCCCAGATTTCCTTTTGGGGATCCACCCCTGCACCCAGAGCCCCGCTGGGGACGAGCCCCGCAGGGCAGCCGGGACGGGGCTGGGGCAGGAAGAGGAGGGTGTGGGAGGAAGAACGGAAAGGACCGAGCCCTCCCCCGGCGGGAGGAGCAGGATCCTGCAAAACCCTTTTTGGGGGTTTTTCTCCAAACTGTCCCTGTTTCCAGCTCCCTTATTTTTTTGTCAGGAGCCACCTCCAGCGGTGCCACAACAAAACCCTCGAGTGTCCCGAATGTCCCTGCGGTGCTTCCCCCTCGCTCCAGACCGGCTGAGCTCCGCAGATGCTCCTTTTTCCCGATTATTACTATAATTATTATTAATTCCAATGCTGGCTGTAATAAAAAAAATCAGCTTTTCTCCCCCGAGGAGGCTCCAGTTGTCCCCCCAGGGCTGCGTCCCAGCCCCTCTGTCCACGACCTTCCCATGGAGCAACTCCATTTCCACGGGACAGGGAGCCTTGCCAAGAAAACGGCTGGAAAAAACCAAGATCCGAGAAAAAAAATAAAAACAACACCTGCCAAGGCAGGGGAGGGCAGTGGGAGTCCAAGGGTGAAACATCCAGCGGGATCTCCCCCCGAGAATGCCAAAGGAATTACAGAGTCACCTCAAAGCAAAGCGCCGACAGCCCGGGAGGGGTCGGGGGCTCTGGTGGGAAATGGGGTCGGGGAGGGAAGGGGAGAAGGGGAGCTCGGGCTCGCCCGGTGCGCCCCAGAGGGGCCGACCTGCTCCAGGATAAGGCATCAAAGGGACCACGCCATGGTCACAGCAACATCTCTCCTCTCTCAAATGAACACATTTTATATTTTTATATATATAATAATAATATAGAATCTTTTCTCTTCTTTTTTTTTTTTTTGTTTTTTTTTTGTTTTTTTTTTGTGTTTGTTTTTTTTGGGTTTTTTTTTTGTATTGTTTTGTTGGTATTTCTGTCGTTGGGTTCTTTTTTTGTTTGCTTTTTTTTGGTTTTTTTTGCTAAAAGGACCAAGGCATGATGACGCCAAGGGACCTCGGGTTGGGGGGAGAGGCAGGAGGGGAGGAAAAAGGGACAAAAAAAGGGGGAGGGGGGGGAAATCAAGCCAAAATTTAAAAAAAAATATATATAGCTCTGGCCTTCAGGTGGAGGAGGCGGCCGGGCAGCGCTGGAGGTGCCGCTCAGAAGCCTCAGAAGCCGTTGCCGCTGATGTTGATGGACTGCAGGTCGGCCACCTGCATGACGTTGATGCCGCTGCTGGCCAGGCGGGCGATGCCCTCGGGGCAGATGGCCTCCATGGCCACCATGTTGGTGGCGATCAGCGCCGAGGGCGTGGCGCCGCCGTTGCCCTCGGCCGAGGCCGCCGTGTCCATGGGGACGGCCGAGACGTTCATGGCCACGCTGGCGGCGCCTCCCTTCTTGTTCTGGTGGGTCTTGATGTGCTTGGAGAGGTGGTCGCTGCGCATGAAGCGTTTGGGGCACTCCGGGCAGGCGAACTTCTTCTCTCCTGTGGGGAGGGACGGCGCCGTGAGGGATGGAGGGGAGAGGGTTGGGACTGGGGAAGGGGTCCTGCCCTCTGAGACAGGGGTCAGGCCCTGGAGCGAAGACATGAAGGACAACGCTCCAGGATGCTCAAATTTTGGGAAAAGATTCCTCCCCACAAGAATGCTCAGGCTTTGGAGGGGCTCTCAGCCCCAAGAGATCAAAGCCAACACTCCAGGATGTTGAAGTTTTGGGAAAAGGCTGGGACCTTGAGAAAAAGTTCCTCCCTGTGAGAATGCTCGTGCTCTGGAGGGGCTGTCAGCCCCAAGAGCTCAAGGTCAACACTGCAATTTCAGCTCCAGGGATCCCTGAGGCTGCCCCACGAGCCAGAGCAGCCAGCCCAGCCCCCCCGGAGCCCCCCGGAGCCCCCAGCCCCACCTGTGTGCGTGCGCTTGTGCCGCTGCAGCTCGTCGGAGCGGGTGAAGCGCTTCCCGCACAGCACCCAGGTGCAGATGAAGGGCCTCTCCCCCGTGTGCCACCGCAGGTGCGCCCGCAGGTGAGACGTCTTGCCGTACACCTTCCCGCAGCCCGGCACGTGGCAGATGTGCTGCTTCTTCTTGCCTGGATCCCCAGAGCTCCTGCGGGAAGGGAAAGGTTAAACCTGGGGGAATTTCAGGGGATAGGGGGTAGAGCTGCTGGATTAGGATCGGACCTGTGGGACTAATGGGTTCGGGGAGAGCCAGGTCCTGTCCTTGGCTGACAACAGCCCCATGGGACACGGGGAACTGGGGCTGGAAAGCTGGGAAAGGACCTGGGGGAGCCAGGAGGCCACGTGCATGTGGCACACTTGGGGACATGGGTGGCACTTGGGGACACGGGTGGCCTTGCCAGGGCTGGGGGAGCAGCTGGAGCTGATGATCTGAGGGACCCTTCCCAACCCAAATAACCCCATAAAACGAGGCCCTTTGGGGCGGATGGGGCGCTCCTGGTGGCAGAGCCTCACCTGCCCTCTCCTTCCTTGCAGTAGGGACAGGTGCAGGCTTCCCTCCGCGTTTTGCGGCCCTGCTGGGGCTGGGGGTCGGGGCTGGTCTCGCCCTCCTCCACGGCCGTGCTCTCGTCGCCCAGCCCGTCCCCGCTGCCGCCGTGCAGCCCCAGCTGGGCCCCGTGCTCACCTGCAAGGCAAGGGACAGGCAGGTCACAGCAGCTCCTCGCTGGGAGCCGGGCTCTCCTCTGCCAAAGGTGAATCCCACCCTTTTCCCTCGGCTTTCCCGACATTCCCCGGCCTGGGGCTCTCCCTGGCTTCCCCTGGACCTCCGCATTTCCCCCATTTTGGCCCAGGTCTTTAATTTATTTCCAAGGGCTGTGATTCCAGCCCCAAATCCACCTTTTTCATCCCAATTTCCTCACAGGAAGGACATGCTGTCACTGAACGTGGCAGGTTTGAGACAAGCACACCTGGGGTTTTATCTCATTCCAGGGTTGCTCTCCCAAGGCCGGGAAATGAAGCTCCAGGCGGGAATTATTCCCAAAAATCCCATCTGGGGCTTTTCCTGGTGCTGTCTCCAGCAGCTCCAGTGAGGAGGAGGCGGCAGGAAGGCAATGGGGCTGTCCTGGGGCTGCTGGTCACTCGCTGCCCTTTCCAAAGCTGGCATTCCCAAACCCCAGCCCACGATCCTTCTGGGCAGCCCTGCTGGGAGCAGCACCTCGGCCAAGCAGGGAAATTTCCTTTACCATCCCGGTTTTCCCCACAGGAGCTCCGGGGCAGGAGCTAGGGGGGGTTGGAGAAGGATAAATTTCAAATGCCCCGTGAGGCACAGGCTGGGCACGCCTGGAGGTGCCAGGAAGGAGTTTCACAACCCGGAGACAGCGCTGGGAATGAGGAAGAATTCCTGGCAGGAGCAACCTCCCCAGTCCCTGCTGGTGCCAGTGCCAGCAGGCGTCGGTGGCGCCTGGGCAAAGCTCCACGAGGGACAGGAGGCACCAGAACGGGTCCCTGGGGCTCAGGAGCCACCAGAGCAGATCCCTGGGGCTCAGGAGCCACCAGAGCAGATCTCTGGGGCTCAGGAGCCACCAGAGCAGATCCCTGGGGCTCAGGAGCCACCAGAGCAGATCCCTGGGGCTCAGGAGTCACCAGAGCAGATCCCTGGGGCTCAGGAGCCACCAGAGCAGATCCCTGGGGCTCAGGAGGGACAGGAGCCACCAGGAAAGTGAAGAAATCTTCCCTAACATCCAAGCTGAAGCTTCCCAGCCGAGGCTCCTCTATCACCGGGGAGAAGAGGCAGCGGGAGGTTGGCTGCCCCCAGCCCACAGGGATCCAGATTCCCTGGGAAAGGCAGAGCTGGCCTGCCGGGGACGCCCAGAGCTGCAAACAGCCCCAGGAGCAGAGCCCGGCCCTGTCGCACGCTGGGGACAGGGCAGGAGGGCCGGGATGTCACCTGGCACACACCCCAGGCATCCGCAGGACTGTCCCTTCACCCAGCCCCTGGCTCTGCCCCCGGCCCTGGCAGCACGGCAACGCTGGGGAGGAAATGTCCCCTGCAAAGTGACGCGGTTTGAAGGCTGGCCCTCGGTGCCACACTGCCCAGGGTTCCAGCAGCTCCCCAGGCCCTCCCTGCAGCTCCGTGACGTGCCTGCAGTCACAGCCCTGCACGCAGCCGGCCTGGGAGGGGTTTGTGAGCTCCCTAAGCCGGCACCGACAGCTTTGTGCTCCGGCCACGGATTAGAGACTTCCCCGGATGGGAAGAGCTGCTGGGGAAATAAAAAAAAAAATAAAAGGACAAAAAACCCCACAACTTCTCTCTCCCCAAAAAATCCCAAACCAGGAGAAACACAAGTTCCTTCCCCAAAAAGACAGCAGGGAAGGGGAGAACCCAGCCAGGATGCCTTGGAATGGCTTCAATCCTCCGAGAGGCAAAAGCCTACACGGTGTTTTCTGGCCTTTTGGCCGGAACAAACTCTAACTGTGCTGCTGGAGATCTGTGGCCGCCTCTCAGCGAGGTATAAACCCAGGGCAGCAGATCCCCGACCTGCAGGGATCATCCCACCCCAAGCAGGAGCTCTGAAATCCCTGGGATACGACAGGTTCAGGGGAAAAGTGGGCAGAGAGGATAATTCACGTTTATTATCCCTCCTAATGCACATCCCTGCTAAGACTAAAGCTTCCCCGGAGGCTCCGCACTCGGGTCAGCAAAGCCCTCAAAAATACATTATTAATAGAGCAAGAGGAGGTTTAATCCCTGGAAAAAGCCTGGGGAAAAAGAGGGATTTTGGGAAGGCAGGCGAGGGGAGCTGCCCCTGGCCCAGCTCCACCTCTGAGACCCCCCAGGAACGGGGCAGTTTCTGGTGTCCCACTAAAAACCCCAAACCCGGAATCTTGGCTGGGGGATTCTCTGCAGACAAGGTGCTCCTTGTGCAGGAAAAAGCTGGGGCTTGTTTGCTTTATTTAGCAAACTACCAGGAGGTGAGAAATGCCCGTCAGGGAGGAGGGAGCAGCTTTCACACCCACCCCGGCCAGCCTCGGGCAGGGGAACAGACCCCGTGTTCATTTTTAGGGGAAGAGCAGGAAATAAAACCCAAAACCAACAGACCGGGGCTGATTGTGCAAACTGTGCACCTCTGGCAGCTGTGCCTGGGCAGAGGGCGAGGGGGGAGAGCTGGCACCAGGCACGACGTGGCTTCCTGGCACGAGCAAGTTTTCGGGTGAAAAGAAAGAAGAGCAAAACCTGGGGACACGCAGCCCCAACCTCTCTGAGTGTGTTCCTGAAAACACCTCCAAAATCCACGTTTTCTAGCTCACAACTCAAGTTCTCCCCATTTCCTGCCTGGTTTTTGGGGTCACTGCCCTGCCCAGAACAAACCCCAGCTGCTCCAGACACACCAAAGAGCTGCACAAAGGGACAAAGTGGCTTTGGAACGATGTCCCCTTGGCTTTTTCCCATCTGATTCCCTCCCTGGTTTGCCAAATGAGTTAATCTGCACCAGGAGCTCATCCATGTAAATGAGCCAAGCTCTGGCTCAGCAATTCCTTGGAGATGGGGGCCGTGGAGAGGGAACCAGGGGATGGGGCAGGCTGGAAGCTGCAGCCCAGTGAGTAATTGGGCTTTAATTTGGACTCTGATGACTCCAGAGGCCACTCCTTGGGCAGCTCCTGTAATTGCTGGAGGTTTCTGTGCATCAGGATGAGCGACCCTTCCTTTGGAGAGGGGATAAATTGGGATGGAGCCGATGGAGTGAGGGAGGGGACAGAGCTGAGGCAGGGAATCACCTCATCATCCACCTTGCCAGATCCCTGAATCCCCCAGGATTTGCCAAGTGCCTCTGTTGTGCTGCAGACTGACAGACAGAGCCCCTCTGCCCTTCAAATCCCTGCCCGAATCGTCACAAAACTGGGATGAAGCCTCCAGTCCTGCCTTGGCTGGGGTGAAAGCACCCGGAGCAGCTCACCCTGCAGCACAGGCAGCTCCCACCACAGCACCCCTGCCAGCCAGGCAGAAATCCCTGTGGGAGGAGGAAAATGCCTGGTTTTTACCAAGGCAATTCCAATAATTTCCAAGGCAAAGGTAATTCCCCAGGTGGGGAACCCCAGCAGGCGCCTCCCACCTCACCGGAGCCTCTGTGCGCCTCTCCCTCACAGCAACCAGGAGTGGGAGCTTTCCTGAGCCACAAATCCCAAGTTTTTGATCCCAAGGAGGAACTGACGCTGTATCAGCCCCAGGATCTAACCCAGGCCTGCCGGGACGGGGTGGGAGGGGATGAGGAGCCGTCTGGAGGCTGCCGGCCGGGCTGAGGTGGGAGCCCACGCTCTGGAGAGGAGCCACGCGGAAACTCCCCCAAAGCCGGGAGCCAGACCGGCCTCCTGCGTGGGGCGATAAGGACGGGGCTCCAGCAGGGCTGGGGCTGGCCCAGATAAAAGGAAAAGGCAGATCAGGGCCCGGCAGACGGGCCTGGAGCCGGGACCTCTCCCGGGAGGAGTCACGGGGTGGGTGCCGCACGCCCGACCCGTCCGACCGGCCCGGCGCGGCCGCCAGCCCTTCCCAGCCCCGCCGAGCGCGGCCCGGAGCAGCAGCAGGGACAGCAAAAGCAGCAGGGACAGCAAAAGGAGCAGCAGCAGGGCTGCCCCATGGGGCCCAGCACCCACAGGCTGTCCCCTCCGTGGGGACCATGTGTGGGGCACAACCTCAGCCAGACAAAGCTGGCACAAGGCAGGCTCTGCCGGGAGCGCTCCCCTTCCTCCCAGGCAAACCAAGGCTCTCTGGGGGTTCGTGTCAGCCCCCAGGGAAGGACACGGATGGCGGTCAGCCCAGGAAGCCAGAGGGGATGTAAAGTCCAGCCCGGCCGGGATTCAGAGCAGGAAGTTTCACAATGCGCTGGTTTGTGCCGTGATGTCACGGCTGCGGTGAGACAAACAAGGGCCGCGCGTCACGGCAGGCTCGGCTCCCTTCTCCCCTCCCCGTGCCATGGGGATGCCTCACCCAGGCCCTGCCACAAGGCTGCCCTTAAAAACCAGCAAACAGCACACAATCGGGGCTTTGTGCCACGGGCCCGACTCCGGGAAGGGCCCGGGAGCAGGGAGCCGGGAGGGGATCGTGGCACACGTGGCCGAGGGCTCCTGTGCCCACCAGGGATGGTCCTGACGGCCCAGCTCCCCCACATCCTCACCCAAGGAGCTGGAAGGGAGCTCCTGCTGCCCAGAAAATCCCAACCACACCCAACAACTCCATCCAGCCCTGGAATCAAACACCCCAAAAGGAGGGATATCCCTTGAGTGCCCCCAAAACAAGGGGGTTTAATTCCAGTGCTGACCTACCTGGTGGTCACCTGTTTACACAGCACATCCCTCAGCCAGGTAGGGCTGGGACAGGGACGTGGGGACAGCAGGGCTCTGCCAGGGACAAGGACATGGGGACAGAGCCACTATAAGGACACCGAGCTCAGAACAGCCCCTCCCTAGGGCAAAAGAGGAAGAGAAACTGCGGTGTCACAAAATCCCCACCATCATCCCCCTCACACAGGATGTCCCCTCCCTGGGCAGGCTGGGGTGACACTGAGGTGGCTCTTGGACCCCTCTGAGGTGTCCCAGCCCCTGGCTGAGCCCCAGACCCCATCCCACCCCAGGAGGGTTTTGGGGCGCTGCCAGCTAAGGAAATGCCCCCTGCCTGGCTCTGGGTGCCCTCCCCAGGGGCACAGCCACTGGAGGCAGAGCCTGTTTGCCCACATGCCACCCCTGGCGGCCACAGACCTGCCCCTGCCTCTGCTCCTGCCCAGCCCGGCCAGGGAGGAGGAGGAAACAGCCCCTGAGCGGAGCATTAACACAGAGTCACACCTGCACAGAGCTGGGCTCTGCATCCCACCCAGGAGCACAAAAATCTGCTTTAAAGACCTTTTCAGGTGTTGTTTTCTCCCTGAGGGATTTTTCCCCTGTCAAAAACCAGGAGAAAACGTCATTGGCAACAGAGCCGAGGGGCTGGGAGGCACAGCCCCCCACCCCTGGGGCTCAGGAGGGGACACAGAACCCTCTGGGAGGGGCAGGACACGCAGCGCTGCCAGCCCAGGTGGCACTGCCTGGGCACCTCCTCCTTCCCCAGGAGCACAAACCCAAGGAAAAGCAGCCCCAGTCCCTCCCCAGCCAGGGCTCATTTTCCATCTGCCTCCCCCGGAAGCAGAGGAGCTTTTCCTGCCCCAAAAACCCTTCCCAACTCCTTGCCTGCAGCAGAAAATTCCAGCACACGTGGAGGCTTGGAAAGCTCTCAGGGATTTGGGGAGCATTGGGAACAAATCCCTCCCTCACATTCCCATGGCAGAGCTCGGATCCGGAGGGACGCAGGCCTGGGGGGCTCAGCACCCCCGGAGAGGGGCTGGTGGTGCCTGGGGGACAAAGGGACCCATTGCCACGTCTGAGGGACACGGCCAGGGAAAAGCTGGAGGCAAACCCTGCCCCTGGATGGGCGCCAGGCAGCTCCGTGCCGGCCTCAGCTCTCCCCATTCCAGCCCAGGAGCCTCCCGGACCATCCCACCGAGCTGGGGCTCCCCAAACAACCGCTCTGAACCCTGCTCGGGCTTTTCTTTAAAAATGTCCCCGTGTCACAGCGACAGTGCCAGCGCCACTCGGGGCTGGGGACAGAGCCACGAGGCCCCGCTGCTGCTGCTGCTGCTGCTCATGGGGAATTCTCCACGGCAGATCAAGGGCTGAGAGCTGCTGGGCTAAAAAAAAGGAGAGAAGGAGGAGGAGGAGAAAGAGGAGGAGGAGGAGGCGGTTGCATGGGTGGTCTCTAGAACGTTCCTCCCTGTTCCACCTCCGAGGGCAGAGCCAGGCACGAATACAGGAACTGGGCTCGCTCATGCCTTTCTGCAGCGCCTTCAAAACAAGGAAGGAGCCCGGGAGCGCCGAGGAACGAGCCTGGAAGGAGCCCGGGAGCGCCGAGGAACGAGCCCCGGCCGGGCAGGAGCCGCCCCCGGCGCGGGGATGGCACCGAGGGGACCCTGCACGTCACCCGTGTGTCCCCCCGGTGCCAGCCCCGCCCGTGGGAGCCCCCGCGGGTCCCTGCGCTCCGGGAAATCCAAGGATCAGGCTAATCCCCAGGCTAGAGTGACCCGTGGCCTGCCTGCGAGCCAAGCTGCTGTAGCAACAGCCCAAAATAATGCTGCAAAACAAGCCCAGGGGAGCAGCAGCCGCCTCTCGCGAGAGGGAAGCTCGGGCTGGATTGAGCAACATTTTCTGCTGCCTCTCAACTGTGACTAAATCCAGCAACAGCCCCTTTTAGCCAGAGCCAGAACACAAAAAAAAACCCGGAAAAAAACCCCCAAGGAAAACAGTGGAAAAGCAAGTGGAGAGCGTTCCCAGAGCCGGTCCCTTCCGTGGCAGCAGCCGAGCAGGCTCCAGCTCAGCTCCCACACTCCATATCCTGCTTTTCCCAGGCGTGGGACACGGTGGGGTGGATCCCTGGGGATGCGAGCAGGGTGCCCGTGCCCACGGGACCGGCTGGGCCACGCTGAGGTCACGCTGTCCCGCACCCAGACACTTAATGAGCCCTTTCTTCCGCCCCTGGGAGGAAATTCCCCGCGGCTCCGTGACTGTGTTTGTTTTCTCGGGCTTTTCAGTTAATCCCTGTGTTTTATGGCCATGACTCCTTGCAGGCTCAGCCAAGGAGCCGAGCTGCACTCGGGTCCTCAGCCCAGCCCTGACCCGAGGCTCTTGGGTGGCCTCCAGAGCAGGACAGTGGCACAGAACCAGGAGTCCCCTTTCTTCTCCACTTTCCCCCCACTGCCACCTCCTCCCTTTATTTCCAAGACTTAAACTCCCCAAAAAGGCCTTTAGTGTCTCCTGGTGATCAACATACTCCATCCCCAGGGCCAGCACAGGCCCCACCCCGGCCACCAACACCATTTGACGCCAACCACGCCCAGCCCGGCCGGGCGAGTCCAGCGTTTCTCCTTGGCGTGCAGCCGAGCACTCACCGGGGGCGTTGGCGATGGTCAGGGGCAGCCCCTGCAGCTGGTGCACCTGGATCCCGGACGCTCCCAAGGCACTGAGGTTAATAGTCTGGAGGCCCGGCACGGAGGAGAGCTGGGCGGCGTTGACGGTGACGGTGCCGCTGGGCAGGGAGGCGATGGGGGTCAGCGTGGTGCTGGTGCTGCCCGTCTGGCCCAGCGACACGCCCTGCATGGGGGCCAGCGTGATTGTCTGCGCCTGCGGGCTCTGCACCTGCAGGTTCTGCAGCTGGATGGTCTGCCAGCTCACCTGCCCGTTGGGACCCACCGTGGGCGTGCGGATGATGATGGGCCCGGAGTTGGGCACGGCTTGGAGCTGCAGGTTCTGCAAGGTGTCTTGGGAGATGGCTTGAGTGGCAAAGGTCTGGCCGGACAGCGGGGTGGTCTGGAGGGCTTGGATTGTCTGCCCTCCTTGGACCAGCTGCGGCTGGATCAGGATCTGCTGCTGCTGCTGCTGTGACTGCTGACTCTGATCGCCCTCCTTCTGCTGGCCCGGCTGCAGGGCCACCCCCGACACCGGGGTCTGCAGAGAGTCCGAGCTGGGGACGCTGCTGGCCCTCTGGGGGGTCTGCGCCTGCACGTTGGTGCCCACCGTGGCGCTGGTGGAGAAATTCATGACGCCCACGTTACTGGTGGTGGTGGTGGTGGAGTAGCTGTTGGCGTTGGTGAAGAAGGCGCCCGAGCTGGCCTGGGACGTGGCCGTGCTGGCCGAGCTGCTGGCAGCCCCCGAGGTGGCCGGCTGGGAGCTGCTGTCCGGCGAGCCCGAGCTGCTCAGGGTGCCCGTCTGGGACGTGGGGGCCAGGCTGGCGGCCACGCTGTTGACCGGCAGCAGGGTGATGTTGCCGTTCAGGGCCACGGGCACGTTGGCCACGTACTGGGTCTGCCCGGAGAGGCTGTTGTTGGCCAGCCCCACGCCCTGGATGGGCACGGCCTGCTGCAGCAGGTTGGGCATGGCGATGAGGTTGCTGCCGCCCGCGCGGCTGGTGATGATCTGCTGGTTGGAGCCGGGGATGATCTGCAGCTGCCCCGAGGCATCCTGCTGCACGTTCACCTGCGCCGGGGTGGTGGCAAACTGCAGCTGCTGCCCGTCGATGGTCTGGAACTGGGGGATCACCTGGTACTGGATGTTAGGGATGACGCCCGGCAGGCCCGTCAGCACCTGCTGGTTCTGCAGGCCGGATGCCGAGGTGACCACGTAGGGCCCGGTGCTGACCGGCCGGCTCTTGGAGGCGTCGCCGCCGTTGCTGCCGTTGCTGCCCGGCTCCTTGGAGCCCGTGGGGGTGCTGGAGCCCGCCGAGATGATCTGCCAGCCGTTGGCCGACTGGGTGAGCTGGGCGGCGGCCGCGTTCAGGTCCAGCTCACCGCTCCCGCCCTGCTGGCCCTGGGAGCTGTTGGAATTCTCATTGGGAGACTCGATGCGGCTGCAGGTGGCTGCCAGCAGGGCCAGCGGGGACGGCTGTGACTCCTGGGGACGAGAGAGGAGGAGTTACGGAGGTGGGAGGAGGCCCGAGGGGCAGGCCCGGAGTGAAAAAAAAAAAAACCAAACGGGGAAACAAAAAAAAAAAAAGACCAACTTAATAAGAGAAAACAGGGAGGAGCGTACTCGGAAAAGATAAACACTCCTTCCTGAACAAACCCACCCACAGCCGGAAAAATACAACTGCCAGGCACAAGGCTGTCAGGCCGGGACAGCCTGAACCCACACGGAAAAGCGTTTTGGGAGGGAGCCCGCCTGGGAAAGCCAAGAGAGGAGAGGGCTCCTACACCCGCAAGGCGGGGAATCCCCCTGAGGCAGGACAAACACCCAGGAAGGAGGCTCATTCCTGGGCTCCCCGAGCTGGAGGAGGGCCAGGGGCCCGTGGTGTCAGGGGAGCAGGCGAACTGCGTGTTTCCGAGGAGAGCCGGGGAAGCCACGGGCGCTGCTTGGCAGCGCTCACCCTCCTCTTCCTGCCCTGCTGAAACGCTTGCCTGGGCCCAGCAAACAGCTCGGCCCGGGCCTGGACTTTGCCACACGATCCCCGGGGCCAGCGGGGCCGATCCTTCCCCCGCTCACCTGGGCCTCCCCACCGCCGGCGCTGCTCGTGCTGCTGGCGTCGCCTTCGCCCTTGTCGGGCTTCACAGCCGACATCTCCTCGGTGCTCTCTTGGTCTGCGCGGGAGGGAAGTGACAGCCTCGGTTAGGGACATTTTGGGGCAGGGCAGCGGCACGAGGCTCGGCAGGGCCGGAGGGGACGCGGCGGGCTGGCTCTGGGGGGCCCGTGCGCTCCTGGCGCGGCCGGGAAGGGGCTGCGAGGAGCGGGGAGCTGCCAAGGAGGAGCTGGCAGCGGGACAGGGGGGAAGGACCCGGCCCTGCTCCAGGCGCGGCTCCTCCCCGGCCGCCCGGGACACTCCCTGGCCCCCGCCGAGGCGCTCCCCGGGCCTCCCCCTCGCCCTGCCCGCGGCCCGGGGCACGCATCTCCCGCGGATCCACCCCGGGATTCCCCGCGCGGGTCCGGCCCGCGGGATGCCCTGCCCGGGGCTGCCCATCCCGCCACCCCCGGCGCGGGGGTCCCCGCTCCCACCGAGTCCTTCCTCTCCCAGCGCTCAGGAGCCTCCTCATCCTCCGCCGGCCACCGGGGCAGCGCCCCCCGCTCCTGCCCTCGGCCCCAGCGCCCCGCACCGGGGGCTGCCCCGGGCAGGGGACGCGGAGCGCCCCCCGCCCGCTCGCTCCTCCGCACGGCCCCCCCGCTCCCGGGCCCCGCATCCGCCCCCGCAGGGCGCCGTGCCCGGGAACGGGGGAAAGCCCCCCGGTGCCTGCGCTGGCAGCCGCCCACCCCCCCGGCCTCCCCCGCCATCTCCGCGCCCGATCCCCCGGGAGCTCGCCCCCCCCCCGCCGCCCCCAACCCCGATTCCTGGGGCCTCCCCATCACTCCCCGCCGCCCCCTCCTCCGCTCCAGCCCTGCCCGGCGCGGCCGCCGGTCCCTCCCCCGAGGCCTTCCCCCCTCCCCCGGGTCCCTCCCCCGGCAGGTCCCCCCGGCGCGGCGCGGCGAGGCCCGGCCCGGCGGGGCCCGGCCCGGCGGGGCGGGGCCGCCTCTGGCCCCTCCGAGCGGGCGGGCGCCGCCGCCTCTGCGTGTGCCCGGGGCCCCGCGCGGCGCTCGGCCCCGGCCCCGTCCTTACCGCTCATGGTGCCGGGGCCGGGCCGGGCGCGCGGGGCGGGGCGGGGGCGCGGGCGGGCGAGCGGCCGAACCCGCCGGTGCCGCCGAGGGGCTGCCGAGGGAGGGGCCGCGCGCCGCGGCCGCAGCCCCGCGCCCCGCCCCCGCCGCCCCCGCAGCCAATGGGCACCGGGCGGGCCTCGGAGCGACGGGCGGCGCGGCCAATGGGAAGAGAGGGCGGTGCGGCGCGGGGGGAGAGGAGGGCGGGCGGGCCCCGCCCCCGGCGCCCCGCCCCGTGGGGGAGGGGGAGCGCAGCGGGGTGGCGGCCAATGGGGGCGCGGGGGGGAGGGGGCGGGCGGCGGCTCAGCCAATCGGCGCCCGCGCGGGCTCGCAGGGAGACCCCGTATGGGCGCGGCCGCGGCGGCGCGGGCCGCGGCGTGATGAACGTGCGCCGCCGCCAATGGAGAGCGGGAGGCGGGGCGCGGCGGAAACTGGCAGCGCCCAGCACCAACCGGCAGCGCGGGCCGCGCCGCGGGGCGGGAGAGGAGCGGATATTGATGGTAGCGCCGACTAATCCCAGCGCGGAGGCGGCAGCCGCGGCGCGGCTCGGTGCCAATCAGCGCGCCGGTCGGTCTCAAACGAGCCAATGGGCGCCGCGGGGAGGCGGGGCAAGCGGCCGGGCTGCGCCCTTGGGGGGACGGCGCGGCGAATGGCGGAGCCGGCGCCATGTTGTGTTCGAATCCCTCCGAGCCGGCCGGGCTCCCCCGGGCACTCCCGGGGCTCCCCTCGCCCTCGGTACCGCGGGTTACGTGCGGCTCTTCCCTCCCTGAGTCCCCGCTCCGTGCCGCAAGCCGGCTCGGCCGTGTCACGACAGCCGCCATGGCGGTGCGACACGTCCTCGCGAGTCCGCGGCGCTGTGTGAACACCCCAGAGCCTGTCACGATATCGCCCAGCCCTGTCCCGCCACGGCGGGCGCCACAGCGAAGAGCCCGGACCGCCCTTGCCCCGGGACCGCGGCTTGGGGAGTTTGGGGGCGTTGCGGGATTTGCGGGTTTGGGGCCAAATCCTTCATTTCACATCAAAACAAGCGGTTTGGGGGCGAACGGGGACCGCGGCCAGCGACACTCCAGGGAGGGGACAGCAAGGGACACGCAGTGGCGTTCGTTTCGCTTTCCAGCGTCAGAACCGCCCCCCCGTCCGTGACCTTCCCATTTCCCGATGTTTTCGGCCCAATTCCCGCCCCGCAGCCCGGGAAGGCCCCGCGGCCTCGCCCCCGCACCCGAAGGGGCTTGGGGACAGCCTGTCCCTGTTCTGTCCCCGTCCTGACCCTGCCCTTTCCCCCCCCGTCCCTGTCCTGCTCTCCCCAGACCCTTGGAGTCGCTCAGCGTCCCCTTGTCACCTGCAGTGGTGGCACCTGGGGGCAAAAGGGCCCAGGAGGCCCTGCCCCAGGGCTGGGGGACACCGGGAGCGTCCCGGTCCTGTCACCGGGACTGTTCCCATCCTGTCACCGCCTTGAGCCCCGGGGCTGCGCTGGGCTGGGCAGATCGAGGGGGGCACGGCAGGACCTGCCCCCGTTAGACCCCCTCGTTTAAACCCCCTCACCCCGCTAGTCCCAGCAGGATCCTTGTCCCCTCCAGTGACTCCCACCATCGGCACCCAAAGCCCCAGCGGGACTCCCCCAGTTAACACCCCCAATTAACCTCTCATTTCCCCCCACCACGAGACCTCCCCCCATTAACCCCTCACTGCCCCCCATGGGGACCCCTCCCCAGCGTTCCCGGGCGCCCCCCGGTGGTCGCGGCCGGGCGGTGCCACCCCGGGGCCCGCGGCTTTGCTGCCGCCTGGCGGGGGCGCCACGGCGGAACCCGGGCACCGACTGGCACCGACTGGCACAACAGTGTCACCGACAGTGTCCTGTCACCCGCCACGGTGGAACCCGGGCACCGACTGGCACCGACCGTGTCACCAACCGTGTCCTGTCACCCGCCATGGCAGGACCAGGGCACCAACACTGTCACCAACACTGTCACCGACCCTGTCCTGCCCCCAAAAATGTCCCTCGCAGTGTCCCCAAAGCCGCCCTGTCCTGTCCCAATTGTGCCCCCATCCTTGCCCTGTTCTGTCCCCAACCCTGTCCTCACCCGTGTCCTGTCCCCGGGGTGCTCACATCAGGGTGCTGTCCTGTCCCGTGTCCCCAGCCCTGTCACTGTCCCTGCTCTCTCTGCTGCTGTCCCCAAGCCTGTCCTGTCCCCATCCGTGTCCCTGTCCCCACCTCCCCCTGGCCTCTCAGGGCACACGGGACGGGGACAGCGGAACCCTCAGCCTTGGACTGGGGCAAATTGGGAGCACTGGGGCGAGCCGGGGGGGGCCAGCCTGGGGTGCCCCACGCCCGCTGCCACCCCCCGATTGTCCCTCTGGGTCCCCCCCCCGGCAGGTCGCGGCCGCGGAGGAATCAGGGCGACGCCGGGCGACTCCCAGCAATTTTGGGTTGGGAACCGCAGAAATGCAACGCGGCGCGAGCCAGGGCGGACCGGCCCGGGGACAGCGGCGGGCGGGGGGACCGGGGGGGGTCACAGGGCCCGGGGGGACCCTGGCAGCTTTGGGGGGGGGTCCCAGGACAATTTGCGGTGGTCCCTGGGCTTGGGGGGCACGTGGGGTACCCCAGATTTGCATGTGGGGGTCTTTGGCAGCTTGGAGGGGACGCGGGGCACGGTGGCAGCTTGGGGGGGCCCTCTCGGCAACCGGGGGGCTCGTTCAGCAGCCGGAGGGGGGTCGGGGCCGGTGCCGCCCCCGCCGCCGCCGCTCTGATGTGGCCGCGGCACCGCAGCGCAATGGGAGCCACATGGCGGGGGGGACACGGGGGGAGCACGGACCGCCCTGTCCCCCCGCGGCCCCCCGCGTCCCCCCAGGGGCACCGCTGTCCCGCGGGCTCTGTCCGGCCGGCCCAGGGTCCGTCTGTCCCCCCGGGCTCCGTCCGGGCTCGCTGCCCGTGTCCCCCCCCGGCCCCCGCGGTTATTTCCAGGGATAATTCCGGGATAATTAAAGGGTGGGAGGAAACACCGGGGCCGTGGGCGCAGCTCAGCCCTGGGGCCACCCTGCCCTGGCTTCCCCGTGGGTGGGAAGCCCCCAGCCCCATTCCGGGTGCCCCTCTGTCCCTGCAGGTCCCTGGCTCCCATCCGCCCCCATGTCCCCACACGTCCCGTGGCTCCTCCTGCCCCGCGACCCTCCCTGTCCCGCTGTGATGCCGGGGGGGCTCCGAACACCGGGGTGCCCCCGTGGGTGGTGCTGGGGGGGCTCAGCCCCGTTCCGAGCCCTCGCAGCCTCCCCGGCCCCCCCGGTCCCGCGGGGCCCGTGGGCGGCCGTGGCCGGCGCACCCAGCGCGGGGGCTGCGCTATTTCGGGGCCTCCGACCGCAAGGGAAACATCCGGGGGCCGGAGAGGGCGGGCGGGGCCGGGCCGGGCCGGGCCGGGCCGCGGGGGACACGGGGGGACCCTGGGCCAGGTGAGGGCTGGGGGGCGCGGGGTCACCCGGGGCCGGTTCCGCTTCCTCCCCCCGAGCCCGAGGGGCTGCGGTGCCCCCGCCGTCACCGGGGGATCGGGGGGACAGCGCTGCCGCGACCCCCGCGCTGGGCTGGGGGCGTTCCTGGCCCTGGGGACCGCGGTGGGGACAGGGACACCTCCAGCCCTGCAGCCTCTGTCGTGCTGAGACCCCCGGACTCATCTCAGGGGGCTGAGACCCCCCAAACTAGTGTCATGGTGGGGCTGAGATCCCCCAGATTTGGGGCAGAGGGGCTGAGCCCCCTCAAATTCGTGTCAGCTCCTGAGCAGGCTGATGGATGGGGTGAATGAGGCAGAGGAGGGACGGAGACAAGAGAAGGAGGGATGGAGAGGAGGACGGAGGGAGGACGGACAGACAGACGGCCGACCGGACGGTGGCTGGCCGGCTGCCCGAGGCCGGAGCCCCCCCGCTCCGTGTCCCCCCCGCGCTGGCGAGGTCCCGGCGTCCGGCCGGGTATAAATACCGGGTAATTGCGGGGGCCCGGCGCGGCCGCGGGGCCGTGGGCGGCCGAGCCCGGCGCCGCCCTGTAATCAGCCCCCGCCGCCGCCCCCCCGCGAGCTTTGAAGGGTCCCGGGGCACACGGGGGGGTCCCCACCGCCCCCGGGCCGGGGAGAGACCCCCGCCCCAACCGACACCCCCGGCCCAGCCTGGCCGCTCGGGCAGCGCCAGAACCCCCCGTGAGCCGGAGCTGGTGGGAGTGAAACCCCCCAAAAATCCACGGGTGCCCCCCCAGCCCGCGCCGGGCTGCCTGAGGAGGAGGAGGAGGAGGAGGAGGAGGGCTGGAGTGGCCGTCCCAGTTTGCTCCCAGTTTGTGGGCAGTGGAAGCCCCAGCGAGGGGGGGCCGGCGGTTGTGGCCCTCGGCGGCGCCGGCGGCTGCGGAGCGGAAAGCCCTGACTCAGGGCTGGGAAAGGGCCCCGCTGGCTCCGGCCGGGGGAAACGGCG